TGTATACCAGGGACATTCGTAACCATGATCTCAGCGTGCCTCACTTAAAGTAAGAACGATGTAACTTAAGGAGCTCGTTTCCGGTTGACTATACGGATTTAACAACAATGTATTCTTTGTGAGACACGTTTTAAGCTTCGCTTAAAACATGGATTCGACGACGAAGACACAGAGGGCAGTATGACATTATAATGGCGAGGTCCATGAAGTGAACCGGAATTCCGTCCAAATTCGTGCACGGGTCGACTTTCGCGTACTTACGTTACATGGTAAAGCTGGGGCTTACGCAATGCTTTCCCAGCTGGAGGTTAATATCGCATTACATAGATTTTGCGTCTTATTCCATCGTAAGACCGTTGGTTATAAATCTATTTGCAGCCTAATGGATGCCACCTTGATGTCAAACAGGAACGTTTGCACCGTTCGCTGATATAACCCGTTCACATGGCAAAAAAATATCTGCCACTTCCCCCCCCCCCCCTTGTTCTGATAATTGGGACTCTATACCTGAAAACAAGAGTTTGTTTCAAATGTCATGTCATGAAAATTATTAAAGATAGTTGTTACATCTATAAATATTGGTGAAGTAACCCAGAAACAGTGAGTGGTCACAGCCCAAGTACTTATTTGGGCTATGACTACACAAGCAGTATGTGCAACCTGAATATGTACTCAGGCAAACATAGAAAGGATCAGGGTGTGATAAAATATCGATTTTTCAACTGTTTCCAAGAGTTATAAGAAGAGGTCTAATTCTTGATCACATAGATGAGTGAAGCCATATTTCAATGGGAGCACCAGCCCTGTCTGAAAATGTTAGTATTATTGGTCTAGTTGATACTTTTATAGCTGAAGTGGGATAAGAAATATAAGTTGGTATTCCTTTGTCTAGTGCACACCTGGCTTTGTCTCATGCACACTGGGATGATGTTAGACTTAATAATTGCAAATGGATCATTTTGTGGGTATTGTATGAGTCTATAATGCAACTTGTGGGGTCGTCACATTAGATGTGAATGGTGTTCTCCTGGATGGGAGAGGGAGTCATGAGCAGCAGAATGACTCCCACATTCAATGTTGAACATGCTGCCTGATATAACGGCAAGCAGAATGAACTTCCACCAGACCTCGTCCTGTGTAGGTGGGCCTATGATTGCCTTTTTCCTTGTAATTACATCTGCTAATTTCTATCTAGGTGAGGATGCACTTATCACCAGCAATCCCCATAGGGAGACTTTGCATGGCAGTTGTCTGGGCTTAACTTTAGAATACGTTCCCACGCCCTTGGGAGCAAATAAGTATTAGTATCATACTTATATCTATATGGATATATTGGGAATATATTTCTCTTGACGGCGCATGGACGGTGTTTCGCCCAGAAAACGCTAGAAACTCCTCACATATCTTGGGCCTTGGCAACCCCGAGCGGCCATGTTACACGCTCCGCCCATGCCCCTGCGTCTGCTAGCACATTTCATGGCCTTCCTGGGCATGCGCGCTGTATACAAAATGTGCTAATCAAGCGATGCGCTTATCTTTCTCGAGCACCAATCGTTACAGAGGAACATTATGCATCAGTCTCAGGTGGTCTTGAAAAAATCTGGGGTGGGAACGGATTCTAAACGTGTTCCGTTGTCTGCTGCTGAATGGTGAAAGTGCCATCCCACAGTCGATAGAAGTGAATAGGTAGGAAATGATAGGGGTGAGGGGAATGTCACCCTATACACAAAATGGGAAACTCCTACTGGTTCCCTCCTGGGTCAGGGACAGGTTTTCCTTAGTTACACTTGTGAGAGTTCAACAGTGAACAATGAAGTTAAGTCTCTTGTGAGTGGGGATTGCAGGTGACAAGTGAAACCTGTGCATCCTGACAAAGAGATAGTAGTTCAGTAACACCGAAGTTGATTGAGGTCGCAGATGTCTGAGGTATATCGATGCCTGATTAGAAGTAAAAAGGTAATCATTGGCTCTTTGCATGAGCGAGAAGGTCTGCTGGATGTTCACCCTTCTCGCTGTTATTCCAGATAGTGCATTCTGTGTTGAACATGGGAGTGGATGTTTATACCTCATTAGAAATTAGTGTTCACATAATGAAGTTTAGATTCATATGCAGTGTTCACAGGGATTGACTGCACAAGACAAAGGAATTCCGATAAATCTCAGGATAGTCCAAGGCATAGGTGTTACTTATAACCAATGAGTTTTCTTGAAGGACAACTTCAGACATGTAACAGAAAAGAGTTGTCACTGTTGAATCATGAATACAATTTCTGGAAGTTGAAGAGCGAGAACAGAGGAGCATCAGATGTGAAGGAATCAATTGTCATAAAGAACCACATGTGTTCTGACAATCTGTAAAACCATCTTTTTTGGAAGGCAAGTCTTGGGTTCCATAGTTTGAGGGTGTCCTACCTGAGGTTGACAATTGATGATTCAGAAATTGATTCCTGTGGAGAACAAATTGAATATATGGAACCTATAGGAGACGAAAAATAAAAATTTAACTTAGCAGTTTCATTCTGATCCTTCTGATGAATTACTCATGGAGTTGTTTGCCATGTGGTAAGCACCAATCAGCAATAGTTTTCCCATTTTAATGTAACCAGCAAGATATAATGATTCCGAGGGTTAGTGACAGTTTTGCACCATGGAAAGTGCCATGTTATCCTGTTCAACAGAAAGAGCTCTCATCACTCACTTTCCCTCCCATATTGTCTTTTGACCATGTTGTCTGCTATGCACATAGCATTTATTCATATTGTAGGATCACAGTGTAGTGAGTGGTTTGTTCCATTGGTTGGTGTCCACCATAGCATGATTCTCTGCCTTTCAATGACAGTGATTATGTGGGCAACATTGATTGGCCTACTACATCAAAAAGTGAAAACTTGATTCATTCTTATGAATTGCAGGGCAGGTTCTTGTATTGTGTATTCCCTGTATTTTTGTGAAAAGAAAGAGAAGTTTCTCTAGGGTAGATAATGGAGCCTGTGATCATATACTGTATATAAAAATAAAAAAACACACACACAAATCCTTGGTTATTGCTTTGAATTTTTCTTGTGTTCTATTGGAAGGACTATGCTATGAGTTGAATGTGTGGCAAAACTACTTTTGATTTTTAAAATTGCATTTTCTGGTGTTGCAAATATTGTTTTAACCAGGTTTCAAAATTATGTAGGTATGTTCCAGGTTCACTTCTGCTCCCACTTTCCAGGAGAAAATTCTCCATCTGCCTAAGGAATTAATATACAAGGCGTTTCAAAAGTCACTCCCAATGTTTATGCAGCCATGGTGTGCATATTTTGTTGGATGTAGAGGTACCAAACTCAATGTGTGAATAAATTTGGCCATGGGAAGGCGATCCACTCATGTTCATGATGTCAAAGGAAAGTGTTCTTGGATGTTCTGTGTGTTTCCCATTGGTCATATAACCCCAAAGTCATCTGGGGTGAGGTCAGATGATATTGCAGGCTAGGATCAAAGTTCAAGTGTGACATACTGAAGGTAGGGAGGCTGATTGGATGAGAGAGGACAAAAGAAAGCCAGGGGACGGCTGGGAATCGAACCCGGGCCTCCTGATTGCTTGTCAGGTGTGCTACCTAACTGCCATTACACCACCAAACCTGCGACATTCAGTTGTGCTTCTCAACAGTGCCTTCTTCGCACAAAGGTTCATAGTATCAAAGTGATTTAAGGTGTCAGCTGAAAAAAATGGCCATTTTGTACAAAAGCTGGAAAATACATTTTACTTAGATTGCTATGTAAGTGGAGCACCATCTTGTATGAAGACTGCCCAATCATTTTATTGGCTTGTTGAAAGTTGCTGGAAGTTTTGTGATAATGTACTCTTACCCATGTGGTGTCACACTAGTGCTCATTGCCCTCCTCATATTTAAATTGGTCTGCTTGACAATTTTCCCAACACTGGCCATCAATATGCTTGGTGTGGTTGTCTGAACAGTGATGGTGACTTTTGAAGTGCCTGATATATAAGAGGGTCAGTCATTAAGTTCCTGTAATTGAAGCATGTCCTGATTGTCAGGAGAAGCTAGGATTTCAACACATTTTCAGATTCCCTTCTTGGCATATTTAATCTAAACTTACAATGTTGATGCATTGCTTCCCATTCAAGATAGAGACCATATTTTGAAGAGGTCTTACACCTACTGATTTAAAATGACCTCTTTCAGGGACAAAGTTTCATATACATGAAGGTACATTCATTACGTCTTAGATATATTTAGCAACCTTGCAGTTGCCTAATAGTTACTAAGACATTGAGCAATATTTGACTCATTTTGTTACATGCCAGCATAAATGAGGTTTACCAAATTGTGGTAGTTTTTGTGGACTTAGCAGCTATATAAGGAGGATATATCATGTCATGATCTGGGCTGTGCCACCCCTGCTATAAAAGGAGCAAAGTTTGTATCATTATGATGTGATATTCAGTTGACAGCGCACCTTTAGTTTTGAATCCGTTGCTTTTGCATTTGAACTCTCAGGTATGTGGAGCTAAATGATACCAAGATGATCTGAACATCTCCATGAGGGGTCAGGTTCTGTTGATGAGTTCAATCCCAGCATTGGCTGTACTTGCATACATCTTCTGGAGGAGAAAAAGCAGACAATATCGAACTTTTTCATCCAAACAAGTTGTGGACTTGTCTGATAAGAGCCTGATAACAGTATCGGGTGGGAATAGCACTGGTGAAGAGAAGAGGAGTGAGGAAGATAGTGAGTGCCACGAAGCAAGTTTCTCTGTGTGTCTTGAATTGGAATTGAGGTCCTCCATGGCCAATCCAAGAGAGGAAGAAAAGGAGCCGTCAGCTGCACCTCAGTGCATTTCTGGGAGTGAGGAAGCCCAACTGTCTGAGTCCATGAAGGAGATGCATGTTTCTGAAGATGTTGGGGATGAGAACTGTTTGACAAAAGATCAGGATACAATCCCCATGAATGAGGAGGAGGGGGATTTGCAAGAGATTACCAGTGATGGGGAGGTGACCTCAGAAGTGTTAGATGGGCGTGCCAGTAGAGACAGTGGAGTGCAGCCATCTTGCAGTTCCACCCCAACAAGTATGATACACTCATCCCCAAGCCCTCATGTTTCTCATCACATCTCAGACACATCCAGTGAAGTAAGCATTAATTTTCTCTTGACGCTTCTTACCCATGAAGTAATTGCCTGCTGTCATGCTGTGTATCTTTTTCTGGAATATATATTGTTGACCTATTTTCTTAAATGTAATTTGTTAGTCGTTAGTCTTTGAAGTTATTAATGGTAGGCATATTCCCTGTGTTTTAATCCTGAATTTGGATTTCTAAACATCTTAAAATAGAATATAGAAGGAAAAAGATGGTAAAGGAAATTGTACTTTCTCTTGTATTTTAGCTCATGACTAGCAGTAAAGGAGAGAATTGTTTTTAATGAGCATTCAGGAAGTCTCTACATTCCTTTTAATGTTTGAAGTAAAAAATAATAGCCAATTTCACCATGGCCTGCTTTTCACAGGAGTTCTGGTAAGGAATAAGAAAATCAAGAAGACAACACAAGAAAACTACTCCCTGGTTTGGGTTGTTCTTTACCATCAGCAGTTCAGGACATCAGAACCAGTTTTTTTTTTTTTCTTCCAATTTCTTATTTGGGGTATATGTTGAGGCATTGCCTGTTAGTTGAAGTGGTAAGGTGTGGGAAATTTAAATTTCATGATTTGCTTCTTTTGGCTTTTCTGTTTGTTGGGAGACATTGACTATAAATACAAGAGTATGGGCATGTTCAAAAGTTCCTCCTTTTATGTCAATTAGAGGGTTGAGATTCCTTGACTGTCTTTTTGACAAGTTGTGCATTCCATTGCACACATTTTAAGGGGATTTTTTTGCATTTTGACATAGGCCCCCTTCCTCCTTGTCTTTTTTTTATCTTTTTTTTTTTAGACATGATGGTTTGATATGTTGTCATTTTTTCAGGTTTCATCAGAGAGTGAGAGAACTGTAGAAATCATCAAGGGGGAATCAACACCTGTCAAAGATCACACATCATATGATTTTGAACTCCCACAGAAGTATGTTGGGTTGCTCATTGGTCGTTTGGGATGTTTTGTGAAGGAGATTCGATCCAGCACTGGTGCTGTCGTGGAAGTCCGACGACATCCTTCTGATAACAAATTCAAGATCTGCTCTGTATCTGGTGAGACAACTTGACCTCCTTGGAATGAATGAAGCTGGAGTAATAGGAAGGCTCTTGAACATAGCATATAAAGATATTGATAATTTATTGGGCTGATTAATTGTCATTATTGGTTTTATCAGGAAACTGATGAAATTAGTCTACCAGTATCCAATGTGACTCTTTTTTCACCCCAGTTTTTGGTTTGGAAATCAATTTTGATGTAGCAATTGGGCATCTTTGTGTTTGGACTAAAAATGAAAAAGGGGTAAATACTGAGGAATGCTCTGGAAGAAAAATCTAAGATGTGATAGCCTCCCTTTTACAGACCTATCTTGCATTCTCCAACAATCATGCAATTTTGCCTGATCGGAAGCAGGAGATGGGGAGACCTAAATAAACCACTCCATGGGGAGTACATACAACACATCCCATCAGGGATGTGTTGTAGTTACACTTGCTGAACAACAAATCCAGATTAATCTAGCGTGAGGCATGCATGTGTCTGCTTGTGATCTGGCCTGAACCCCAAATAATTTGGGTTGAGCAACTACACGCCCTGAAATACTTCATCTCTGTCTCCCCTGGTTGTATCCTCCTAAGATCCACTTGCATCTCTACTTACTTCCTGCCAACTCTTCTCTGAGCTGGTTCTGTGCCATTTCACACCTAGCAGTTTTTGTGTGTGAATTTTGTGATGCATGCAAAATCCCTGTCTGTGCCATTCCATTTATGCTCAAACACCAAGGAACACATGTGCATATATATCCACATGTATTCACAGGTAAAGAGGAAATGCCAGGATTGTGTTCAGAGTATAAGATTTCATCCTATTCAAAATGTCAACTAGGATTCTCAACTTTTCCAACTTATTGGTATTGGTTTTTATCAAATCCCTCTTGGTGAATATCAGCTTATTGGACATCTGTAAAAATTCCTCATCTATAACATCCTTAGTAGCATATAAGATTTTTTAAACTATTCAGTTTTTTTGACAATTGGGTCACTGTGTTTTCTCACAGAGATAACATGAGTTGAAGATATCAGGAACATAAAAAAAAAGTTTTCCATGAGATACAGAAGACCTTTGATCAAATGATAAAAGAAAAGCAGCATTTTCAGGTTATTTGTTCTAAGGATGTATGTGCTGGTACATGATGTTGGTAAGGAGTGTAATATTTTCATGTGGACCATTGGACCTCCACAAATTTTGATCTGTGGCATAACAATTGAAAGTTCTTCTGATGCAGAGCAGAAAATTGTTGGAACTTTTGTATGAAAATCAATATTTTAAGTCATTATCACTAAGAACCAAACTTTTTTCAGGTTTTTTTTTTTTTTTTAGGTTTTCAGCCAAAAAATGTGAATTTATGTTATCTTCTCCCATCATGTGGGGTAAACCTGAAGGGAGCATGAAATAAAGAAAAAATAAAAAGCTGGAAACTAAGTTAATATGCTAGCACTGTCCAAATGGACAGGAGGGATGAAAAATTCTTTAATATTTCTATATGGTGATATAATCATGGATATTTATCATTGGTAGTGCCCCAGTATCCCCAACTTGTGCCACAGGGGCCTGGGGTGTTCATCTCTGCTGCTAAAATCACCATTCCAGCTGGGTTCATGATTTTCCTTTTTTTGACTGACAAGAAGGAAGGAAATACCCTGACAGAACTCAATTTCTGTGCCTATTGCCTCCCTATTACAATGTTGAGTCTGGCTTGGTTGGGATCTCATTCAAATTAAGTAGACCTCTAGCAATATATGTATCATAAGGGTTATTGCCTCATAATCTGTTAATTGATAATCTGAGGAGTTGAAGTTAGAGGCACAGGCTCTGAATTCCCACATTCAAGCAAGAATGAGAGCTGGCACATAGGAATCAGCTGATATGCCCATGAAAAAATTAATGAGTGTTATTTGGAGGTGTTTCATCTTCCAATCAGTTTTTTTTTCTGACCTAGACCATATCATATTACATTGGTTTCTTCATTTGAGGAAAGGATCTTTCTCATAGTGTGATAATTGGTATTATCATTTGAATTATTCCAGGATCGCAGAAGGAAGTGGATGGAGCAATGGATTTGATACGGAAACGTTTCCCGAGCAGACGTTTTCCAGAAGTCTCATTAGAAAAGATAAATTTGGTTCCCATGCAGCCAACTGTCATATTGCCCCCATGCATGACGGTATGTTTCTTTCACCCATTATTTATCCATTTGGATGAGGTACAAGAAGCATCATGTCAGATACTCCTATTATAACACATTCACTATCATAAACAGCTTCAATAAAGTTTCTGGTGAGCCATGTATAGATCATATGATATTGGCATATCATTACCATTAACCCTTGAGTGGTGGGTTTTTACATCCTCGCCAGACCTATAGGAGTGAGTTTTTTTAGATTCCGCGATTGTGACAGAGAAAATTACAAGATTTAAATCTTAACATAAATTAACATCGTACTTGCATATATTTTTAAATGAGTTTTTGGGCATATGAATATTGGGATCTCTGAGGCGATTTTGTACATTTCTCTTGTTTCTAATCTTCCGAAATGCTTAAGGTGTGGTACTCTGCAAAGCATGGATGGATACAGAGTCCAATGTCACAGGTGATTCATTGGTACAGGGTACAGGTCCTCTACTGCTGATGTTTTTTGATTCTTTTGCATATTTATGGGATTAATTGCAATTTAAATTTGCAGAAAAAGTTCTTGGAAGACATGGCTAGATGGTAGCACCTGTCTAGTCAGTCTCATGACCCACCACATACATTTGCACTTAAGACATCACATGAAAATATGAACCCGTATATATACAGGCATACTCATCAAAGGGTTAATATGCACAGAAATTTCAAGTCTTTACATGAATCATTCTTGCAAAGGACATATTTTATCTCCATAGTACATTTATTTAATGTATTCATTGGAGTGTTTGCTGCACAAAGATTGGCAAATGCTGATGCCTCTTGAATGCATAATTTTTCTTGGTTTATGTTCCTGTGGTTTTTTTTTTTTTAAAGGGAAATATTTTTCTCTGGCTAAATGCAGTCAGATATGTTAGTATAGTCCATGTATCAGGGAAAAGCCCACTTTCAGGATGCACTTGAGAGCAAAGGGAAGACTAATCCTTTTAATAGCCTCATTCATCAACTAGGTTAAGGGAAAGATCTGAGGAAACAATAACATGACATGTTCAGAGACATGTCACATTTTCAGGGTTGTTGGATTGCCTTTTCACTCCTCTCATACTTCAGGCCAATAATTATGAAGAAAATGAAGTAATTCGGTTCCCAATATCCAGGGGAGCACCTGCTGTTATAGTAGCTGTCCAACTTGCACTGACAATGAAGAGAGGAGAAAGCCAGTAACTGTGCTATTGGTATTTCTTCACATCTCTGACATTCCTTCTTCCCAAGGGGAATCCACAAATTGCCTTATCTTGCCTCACTATGTCAAATAACTTTCCCCTCTAACTTTTTGTTGGAAAGCCAAGCCATTGGTCTATTGCCTCCATTTATCATCTTATTGTTTAGAGAAACTGGTTATTTTCCCGATACATGGACTATAGCAAACCATTACTATTGAGATTTACTAATTTCCTCTCATTGCTATGCGTATGAAATTCTGTTTTATCTCGTGAGTTTGTTTGTTGTGTTCATCTAAGGCATTGACATTGCAAGGACTTGTCGAGTACATTTTGCCTCTAATGCAGCTTATCTAATGGGTAGCATTGCATTAGGTCTTTGCACTATAAATAAGCTCAGGCTAGAAGAAAGCCAGTTAGCATAAATGTAAAGTTAATCTCAGCAGTCTCATATAATGATGGATGTCTGAATGTGTTTGATGAGTATATTTTTGGGAAGGAAAATAAAAGAGAGGGATTCAGTGGTTTATATTATTGAGGTAATTAAACTTTCCATGTCTGCACAGTCAACAATTACTAAGTTTACGGTGTAGGGTCTAGGAGCTACCTGGCATTCCATTGCCAATAAGAGCTCTGCATGTTATTCTTATTCCCCTATTGTGCACAGCATCAGCAAGATGACTTGATGACCATACTTGTAGTATTTTATTCAATGAACAAGGGTCTTTAACCCCTTTTCTGGGTTAGATGTCTTTTGACATCTGACCTTCCATATTTGATGAAAAACTTCTCAGTTAAGGAGTTAATGAAGGAGATCTAATGGAGAGGATTCAGAGGCTTATATGATGAGGTAGTAGTGAAACATTTCATCATCTGAAGTGAAAACTTCCAGGGAAAATCTCCAGAAAATATTTGGAAAATGACTTGACTTGCAAAATTTAATGTGTTTAGGTATACATTAGTCGCCATGAAGGCACTCAATTGGAACCTCATCCAATATCAGCAGTTTCCTTGTTGTGTTTTGTGCATTCATGTACCATATTGGTAATGAAAGGAAGTCATTCATCTAATTGCCATCAGTCATTTTTTTCACTTGGCAAGTTTGCGATCAAAAGAAAGTTGAATAGCAAAGAAACAGCTGTATTATAAGCATCTGTATATACAGGGTGTTTCAAAAGTCCATACTCATGGGTATTTTGAATTAATTAAATTTCTCAATTAATGAGTGGACCAAAATTAGTACAGAAGTGCTAAGAAATATTCAGAGGGGGTTATGTGCCAGGATTGATATGTGTATGCAAGTTCCTGACATGCAATTTGAACATTTAATGAAAGGTAAATTAGGAAATCTACCTATGAGTCTGGACTTTTGAAACACCCTGTATTTTGACTAGGTATTCATTTTTTAATGAAAGAATGTTGAAGTTCTCTCCCATGTATTGGGTCATCCCATAAGTAATGCGGTTTCTTTTCTATATTTTGAAATTAAAAATAAAACAACTTTTCAACAACCTTTAATCAATAACATATTTTCCCTCATTCTCTACAACCTTTTTCCATCTTTCTGGTAAACTTTCTATACCCTTGTAAAATTTCCTTGACTTGGACTCGAAAAACTCCTCCAATACAGTTCTGACTTCATCTATGGTAGCCATCAGCATTCTGTCCAAGTGGTTTTGTAGGCTCCAGAACAGGTGGTAGTCTGATGGAGCAATGTCTGGTGAATACGGTGGATGGTTCATTATTTCCCAGTCATAGTTTTCCAGTTTCTGCAATGAAACCCTTGCCACGTGCGTTGTCTTGATGAAACAGAGCTGTTCTTTTTCCTCCAGTGCTGTCTTCAAACGGTCAATTTGCATACAATAAAGTTCCTTAGTAATGGTTTGGTTGGGATTCAACAGTTCGAAGTGGATAATTCCTTCCATATCCCACCAAACACTCAACAAAACCTTCCGTGGGTGAAGTCCTTGTTTCGGCTGTGGTGTTGGCGTTTCTCCGGGGCTGACCCATTGTCTGCGACGTTTAACATTGTGGTACAAAACCCATTTTTCATCCCCCATAACAATCCGATTCAAGAACAGCTCATTCTTCAGCCGGGAATTTCTTGAGAAGATCAAGAAGACTTGAACGCACACCTATCCTTTGCCGGAGATTGGTTTCCAACATTTCGTGTGGTACCCATTGTCCGAATCTGGGAACCTTTCCAATGTTTTTCAAGTGCCGGTGAATGGTGGAATGGGTTGAATGAAGTTTCTCAGCCAGTTCTTCAATGGTTACAATGGGATTCTGCTCAACTGTGATCCGCAATAAGTCTTCATCGAACTCCACTTGTCTTCCTGCTCATCCTCTAGGCTGTAGTTCCCAGGCTGTAATTGTTCTTTCCCCTTGGCATATGTTTTCTGCTGCTATCGTCGTGTTGTTGCCTTTTCTATACTCGTACAGCATAACATGCCGAATATGTTCTTTTGTCACTTTCATTTTAAACTCTTTGAAAAGACAGAATAATCGATGTACACTTATCAAAATTTGATATGAAAATGAAGACAAGTTAGTGTCTTGATCAGTATTTATTTCAAATGCATACCTACATACCATTACCAATTTTTATTGGTTTATTGCAAGCTTCTTGGAAAAACCACATTACTTATGGGATGACCCAATACAATTGACATGTTAATGCAGTTTTATCTGGAAAATTTGTCCCAAACAAGTAATTCCTAAAAAATACATCAAGACTTGAGAGATGTTGGGAAATTCATTCCCAGCCTACCATAGTCCTCATTCAGAAAAAGCTGCATTTTATTATAATTTGAGATTGAGATTGACATCAAGTGTTTATATTGCACTTTCATTTGCAGCTGAACCTGCCATCTGGAGTGTCATTTGAAGTGGTTGTCTCATGCATTCTGACTCCAGGACAAGTATTCCTGCAGCAGATCACTCACCCAACATTTCCCTCTCTGACTCAGTTGGATTATGCTATGTCAGTATGCTACATACAACAGGAAACTCCAAGCCTCCCGATGCCTTTAGATGGTATGCCTTTTCTCTCCCACATTCTCCCCTTGGAAAGTCATGTAGTCATATAGCATCCCACTCTTGAAGTGCACTGCCAAATTGTGTATTGACACTGGATCATGAGGGCAGTTGTTGAGACGTCTTTGAAGCAAATCCCAGATATGCACCATAGCAGGCATGCACAACATGCAGCCTACCATAACTGGTGGCATTGTAACTGCTACTATGGCTTCTGCTCTGTTGGCCACAGCTATGGTCAGCCAGACTGGCCTGCAGTATGTGAGTAAAAATCACAAGTGGCCCTCAGTCTATTGAGTTGTGCACCCCTGCTAGATAGAGCATATCTTAGATTTGTGCACTTCAAGAGTGGGTTGCTATACCTCAGGAAGCCATCCAAAATGTAATCAGCAGCATGAGATGATGTGTGATGCTGTCATTCAGGCAAGAGGGAGTCCAACAATGTACAAATATTCCAATATTTCTAAAAATTCTCTACACAATCAAGAACAAGAAAATCTAGTTGGGAGCTGTCCCTTAGTGACAGGAGTTGAAAAAAGTGATTCTCATTATCTAAAAGGTTAAACTGAGTGATTCTTTTTGTGCTTGTATTTGTAAAGTATATTCTGTAATAAATATTTGTAAATAACTAAATTTCCCTAGCATGATAAACTCATGGTCTGCCCAAGTGATCCACTTCAAGCGTTGAGCAGTGTAGTTTGAATAGATATTCTTTTTCTGTAGAGTCAGTCTTAAGACTGACTAGTAAAAATCCTGCCCATCATTTGAACATTCATAACATTGGAATGCAAGTTTAGACTGGGATGCATTTTACACAATTCAAAGGGCAATATATGCTTTGTTAGTCATGTCTAGTATCAATTGGAATTTCAACCCAAGGGGAGCAGTAGCAGACCTTCAGCACTATGGACATCCACAAACTGGTTGCTCTGAAGTAAGCATTAAGAATTAGTCAACAGGGTGATTTCTCAATCACATGGAAAGTCAACACAGTGTATGACAGCAAAATGAAATCCCTCAGTCCTTAGTAGCATGAATTTATGGAAGGATCTCATGCTTGTACCTCTGATAAATTGTTCTTGTTTGGAATGTAGCAAATGGCATCTCAAATAATTTTTCTGGTTTTCAAATGATGTAAACCAGACTGTAATCAGTAACTGTCATGAGTTACTAATGTTAAAAAGGTGGGCAGGATTTTTGACTTGCCATGTATATTAGAAAATATGAGATGGCCAGTACCTGCCAATGAAACCCAGGTATTTGTACATATTTAACCCTTTGGAGTCCATGCCCCAGTTATCTCTTGTTTGCCTCATGACAGATTGAAAGGATTGAAAAAACTTGGATGATAAAAGGATTGAAAAAACTTGGATGATAAAAGGATTGAAAAAACTTGGATGATAAAAGGATTGAAAAAACTTGGATGATAAAAGGATTGAAAAAACTTGGATGACAGTGCTGACACATTCAAAATACTCAGACCCCAAAGGGTTAAAAAATATGGTAGCATGCAATGGATTTAACTACCCTGGTTCAATTAACCCTGGTTCAGTTCTGTAAAAAGTTCATATGCAAGAGATGTGTCACAAGGTTACAATAAAGTCCCTGTTTTAACATAATTATTTCCAACATCCCTTGTCTTTTTGTCATACATGTATGGGATTTCAGTGTCATGTAATGCCTGATACTCATTTGAATGTTAGGCCTTGTCCACACCAGAAAATTTTTTTGAATAATTATGAAAGAATATTGCAAAATAACGATTTTTGAAAGATAACTTTTAAGATATCTTCCAGAACATTGAAAATCTTGCATATAAAACTTTCATCAGACTTCCTCACCAAAAAAAATTTATTTGCAAGTTGACTTGTTTAGAAAAGTTGCTTAGAAAACTTTCTGGTGTGGATGAGCCCTTGCGCTATCAATAGATATGACATTCATTGATGATACCATACAAAATATGCTGTTTGGAGTATCAAAGTGTAACACTGGGGACCTATGTCAACCTATATGTTCCTGTTTTTTTCATGTATGAATATTTTTAGATTTGAATTTCAAAAAATATTTTTTTCTTCTTAGTAGCTTGATGTCTTTAAATTTGATCTTATTGACATTTGTGATGTTCAGTTGGGATAGTGGCAGCAGCCCCAATGGGTGATGGTTGGTATCGGGTGAAGACGACTTCAGTGGACAATGAGACGGATGAGTGTGTTGTGAACTTTCTTGACTATGGAGGCCATGCCACACTCCCCTGCTCCCATTTGCGACAGATCAGGGCAGATTTCATGACCCTCCCTTTCCAGGCCACTGAAGCATGTGTTGCCAACATCACCCCAATACAAGGTTGGTCACTTTTGCCTCTTCCATGGTAATAGAACATCTCCATACTTAAGGGAACAATAAATGTGTTGTATTTCTAAAGCTGCATTATGTTGTAGACATGGGCCCAGGTTTCAATCTGCTTCATGCCTTGCTTTCATGTGAGTGACAGAAATTTCTATTAACATGCTTACTATAATGACTTAACAAAAAAAAAAAATCACTCCCAAGTTTTTCTGGCCAGTTTTTCTTGCACTTTGAAGTCTCTGTTATATCAGCCTGACATCCTACCTGCCCAATTCCTTATAAGTCCTTGCGTTGTTCGTTGTGGGATGTTAGGATCCACTAGGGACATCCATGGGATGATCCCATGCTACTTTGGTGGAAATTATGAGAAGCAGACTGGCCACATTTTCTTGTCAACTTAGTAGGAAACCTTGGAGAAGCAGAGATGTGTTTAGCTCATGATGAGGCATGTAGACTGAGTACTGACTTGTGTTACAGGAGAAGAATGGGAGCCTGAGTCAGCAGCTGTACTGCAGAACATGACTGAAGGACTTGTCCTCCAAGCTCAAGTCACTGGCTGCTCCCCTGAAGGTCTCCCCTCTGTCTACCTCTACAAAACTGATAATGGAAAGGTGAGCAAGGCTATCCCTCTTTTCCTGACTTTCAAAAGTATTATCCCAATGGATGTTTCTTTGCCTTCCCCGAGGTACTCCCTACCCAAACTGTTTGCAATGCCCTTAATACTTGGTCATAGTCTGTCATGGCAGTTACATAGTGTGTATTCAGAATGTCTGATTATCTTTTCCTACATAGCTTTCCTTGTATTCCTTGCTGGGTATACTTATAATACTTTAGTTGCCAGTGTAGTGGTTCTTTCCTATATCCATATAAAGGTTTTGATGCAGTCATTCTTCTTTGAGGCCCATGAAAGTGCAGTACCCCATTAAAAGATTTCATCTTGCCAGAAAATGATCTAGAGTTGAAAAGGATTCAAGGATGTCATGACACTTCTCCTAAGCAATTACCCTCAACAACCTGTGCACATCTTGGGTGAGCCTTCACAGAAATGCACAGTGGTTCCATAAGATGCCAAAACCTGACCATAAAGTGGAAAATGAAGTTACAGCAAATATGAAAGTTTTTTTTTTTCATATCAGATGTCCATACAACACCAAACATTTAAATTTCTGAGTTCCCCCCTTCCCAATAACAGAATAATTACTTGGAGTTTTGGAAACTTCACAACACAGACCAATGTAGTATTGAGGTAGTCAGACTCCTGGCAGTTGGTGTTTTGCAATAAAATAACCTCATTGTGACAATGAATTAAAGTGGCTCTAAACAAAGGTCCTGTTGAGTGACTTCTTCTATTAGTAATTAGCTTTGAACAATCAGGTTTGTATGTAAAATGTGTCACTGTGAACCCTGCAGATTTTTTGCAGATGGAAAATCTTGATTACCAGAAGTTTTTGTGCCAATAGGTGCCAAAGAGTTATCTCCTTCAAATGAGTCTCATGTATGTATGTTATTGTGAAATAATGATTCTAGCTGCCCATTTGGTAAGAATGGCTAATAACATATTGCCATCTGCAACATAGTTTTGCATGAGGAAATTCCGTCAATAGAAGCCATGCAATGTAAGCCTTCTCTATTATTGGAAATACCATGAAGACTATCATTTTGGGTGATTTGACTTCAAAATTAAAGGAAAATTAGTTTTAAGAGGCTAAGGCAGCTCTTACGATTTAGTATCTTCACTTATTCCTGGCAGTAAGCTTTGCAAAGAAGCAAACGATACTTTCTACCATTTGTGCTTGAATTTTATGGAGTGGAACATCTTTCTTACAATAATTAACTAAGCCATATTCATCATTTTTATTGCATTATGTTCTCCATATTCTCATGGGCTCTTGTTCTAGAAATCCCCTGAGGAGGTTGATAACAGTCAAAGTATTAGGGAGTATGAGCACCAGAATATGCAATATAATAAAATCAGGCACAAGTAATGTTGTATAGAGTCTCTTGCTTGCTACTTTGAAAAGCTTATTGCCAGGAACAGGAGCCTTTTTTTTTTGGAAGGCATTGAATCGGTTTCTTGAGGGGATGTTGCTGTTTCTGTGATGTAGCAACCCATCCATGAGCTGACAATTTTGAAGCTAATTTTTCTTTTTCTTTTGATATACGAGACCAAAGCTCATTTCTTTGTCAACTTTTCTGGCACAGATGGTCCTGATCAATCGAGCCCTGGTGGATCAAGGCCTGGCAAGCTGGATAGATGGCCATCATTGATACAACTTCAAAGCCTTCATCCAGGGTAGAGTGATATTCCTGTGTGCATGTGTGTCTGGATCAGTGACTGGAGATGGTGAAGGTAAACAAAGTCATGAGGTGGAACCATGTCTGCAAGCCTATGTTTGTGGTCAAGCCTACTTTACTTCGAACTTCCTTATAGTGGATGACTGAGCTGGGAAGGAGCAATTAGGATATAGTCTTGTGTTGTTGGGCACCCAACTTCATTCTGCCCACAAATCTTTCTAGAAACATCAATGGCTGAAGAGCTAATCATAACTCCAGTGGACTGAGGGGATTTTTCTAATTTCTCAGAATCCGAGGAATGATGATGCTTGGAAGTTTTCAACCCATACATAGCTGTTTTCTGACAGAGGCTACTGGCACAAGTCTTGCATTATGTCTTTTTGATAAATCTCATTTTGGAAACTTCAATGGAGATTTCCCATGTCAGTCTTCATGTGAAAGAAAGTGTTCAAGTATGTGCCAGAGATGTTGGATTTAGTTTTCACCTACAAATCTTTTAGTTGTGCATTTCCTGGTGAGCCAAAGTGTTGCATGGTTGTTACCCATTATATTTTTTTTTACTGACAAGGAAGTTGGGACATGACTGCATACACTGTATATTGAGACATGTCATGAAAGCAATCTGATTTATTTAAAAAAAAAAGCCAGATGAAACTAATGCACTATTTGCACTTTGTTTAGCACAGTCTTGTTCTTCACTGAGATCTCTAATTGAGGCAAAGAATTTTATGCCCTGGTGGATTTTGGAATTAGAGGAATTCTGAGCAAAGGAAGAGGTTTTCATGCCAAGAAACATTGAATATGATGTTGCACTCAGTGGCTTGTTGCTATGACCCTGCCAAAAACTTCAAGAGCAATACTCAACTGTTAATTATTCCTCCATCCTCAAGAATGGGCTTTAGAGGTAGCCTACATATCTTCCAGCTTCATGAGAGGTTTACAGAGAAGCCTTGAAGCTTGAGAACATGCACTCAGTGCCATCTCTTTGGCAACCCTTGTGCCAGTTGTCAGTTGCATGGGACTGGTGAAGGCCACTTCCTGCAAACTTTCTCATTCACATTCATGGAAGCCATCTTAACACCATTGGCTATAATTGTGGTGCTCTAAAGTGCTTTTTTTCTTACATGGAGGGGAACTTTCCTTGAATCTCTCTGGTTGTAGTTATTAAAAAAAAAAAAAAGTCCACTGGAATTATTTGTGCTGGAGGCCATATTATAATACATCCATAACAGACTGCCTTGATTGGAGGCTACTCAAACTCTGCCAAGAGGAAGGTTTTGTTAAAGTGTGCTTTCCTTGTCATCGGTGAAGTATGGCATTTCCTTGAAGCATTTTTTATTCCTTCTGCCATATTGCCAGGCTTTCCCCTGTTTTGCCTCTTTTTATGCCTGCAATTTGCTTTCCTCATGCCCTCAACTCATCAGTTGGAAATTAAATACAAGCACTGTACCAAAACCACACAAGGATACCAGCAGTGCAACTCTGGTACTTTAGTTTTGTTGTTGACATGATTTATTTTGTCCTCTTTCCACTCAACTTTTCTTACTGTCACATTTTATAGTGTCCAGTTTCATTACTTGGCATATTGAAGTGAGTTTCAATTGGATTATGAAAAGATGTTTAGATCACTGCACATTTTCAAAGAGAAAGTGTTGTACTTCTGCCAATGAAGAGATCACTTCACCAATTACAGATGTCGTGTTTAGACCATTGGTTTGTTCCAGTCAGTTAATTTTAAAAAAACTGAAAATCCTTTCAAGACATAAGTGTGTTACTGATTCCTTGCATTCCTTAGTGTTCCTGGATGTGTTGTTGTTGTAGTTGTAGAGTTTAGAGTGGAGATTGCAAACTATCCCTTTGCTTCTGGTTTTTGACAGCATTGTTTTCTCTAATATTTATGGTCTTGTTTTCTGCTTGTACAATCTCTGCATTATGTGTGCTCAGAATATATTGTCAATGCGACGTCTTAAATGATGAAATATCTTTATGATGAGAAATGATTATTAAAATAAGTGATGATGCCAAGTTGTCTTTCTGGAAATGCCGAATCTTTTTCTGGATTAAGCTTTTTGCATTAAAGCTTGATTTGTTCCTAAGCACCAAAGCTGGTTTCCATTCTAGGTAGGGAAGCATGCAGGTTGTTCCACAATGTTCCCCCAGTATACAGAACATCCTGAGAAATGTATCAGGAAGTTAATGTGGTATGAACTTTTAAAGAAGGAAATAGGTATGTGCAACTGCAATAGTGGTTTTCTAATGTTGCTCTGCAGTGTACAGGTAGAAAATCCATCATTGTGGAATGCCCTGTTTAGAAGTTATGATCAACCCAACTTAATAACATTCAATTTGGAAAATTAGCATCCTGTCAAATCATGGGATATTCTCTTAATGTATACAAGATTTCATTACAGGCATGCCAGAGAGAGTTGCATATTTGTAAAAAAAAAACAAAAAAACTTTGGATTAGAATTTTCTTATGAACCTCGATAGCATGTGGACATGGAGATGCTTTCAATGCAGGTAAAAAGTAAGTAATTGAATTTGGAGTATCTGAAAGACATTTTCATACTTGGAGAAAAGCCACTGTTAGAAAGGAAGAAATGGTTCCAGGTAAACCACTTAGAAGACAGCTTGAGAGACTACCATGGAATAGATGGGGATTTGGTTTATTACAGAATCAAGCTTAATTTCATGAATGAAAATACATTCCTTCCAAATGAAAAATTATATTTTGAAACCCTGAGTCTTTATCATAATTTCCAAAGACTGGAGAGACTTGAATCAGGATGACCAAGGAAGTGCAATGGAGGTATGAAAGTGAGAGGAATTCCCTCATCCACTCTTGCTTTCCCCTCCAATTTGAATAGCTGTAAAAGAAATTAAGTAGTCCTAGATATGATCACATGAACGTTTTTTCTGCCATAAAATGGCTATGTGCCCCCTTTAGACATTCTAACCATCCTTGAACATGATAATTATTCAGAGGATATGACATCAGTGCCAATAGTAGTTATTAACTAGACTTGCAGCCATACCATATGTGGCTGTGCTTTCATGTAGGCATCAAGCCATAATGACTTACTTAATGGAGTGATCAAGTTTTGTTCTCTTGCTCACCTGTCTGTGCACCATTCATAAGCATTATGTATATAAATTATGCTTTAACAGATCTCTGAATTGATAAACTCTATGAAGGGGTAACTTGGTTTTACGTCATAATGATATTAAATGTGAATTTTCCTTTGCGTGATGTGCATATTATCATTCATTAATTTTCAACGTCACTTCTCAAAACTTAATGGGATCATGGCTCAAGAAGGCAGAGGAGCATTCTTCACCATTCTTGACCCTGGGTAACAGATTGAGATCAGTAAGTGGAATGCTGAGCCTCAAGTGACAGACAATGCCAAGGAATGTAGTCCATCCACCTTGCACAAGGCCTACCAACTGGTCCTCTGCCAGTAATTTTGAACTTGGAGACTTTTTTAGAGTCTCTCTGGAAGCATGGGGCAGACATGCCCAAATGAGCTGAGATATCTTTATCTGAAAAGGTGGTTGCTTAAACTTGTAGTTCTGATGGATGGCAGCATTATACATCTCTCACAATGCAGAACATTGTCCACTGGCTGCAAGAACCTCATTGAGGCAGCTTGTCTCTACACCTTGATCCCTTTTGTCATTGCATAGTTCATGGCCATAGGTGAGGATTTAATTTTAGAGATGTGAATGATATAATGATGGGTTAATCATCTCTCCTTGAAAACCATAATGTATCAATTAAAGAGAGACTAAAAAAAACTTAAATCCCTATAGCAAGGATGCGAAGACTTACATATTTCATGGATGTTCCCAGTCTCTGAGTGACATCCCATTCTGTTTGGGGCAGTGGATGTTTGATGAAATTTGCAAGACATCCAACACTAGCAAGGAGATGTTCTCGTACTGTAGCCAGTTCCCACAGACTGCTTTCATTTTCATCTGCAAGACACAACTCTTAGCCTTCAACTTCCAGGCAGAATTGGAATTGGCATTATGTATGGAATTGGAAAGGAACTACTCCATGGGAGAATGCTGCCTGGAATAGGAATAATTCCACATAGTGTCTAGCTGAAATGGGAATGAAATTATTCCAGCTGCTTTTTTTTGTACTGCAAAACTGAATAGAAGCATGCTTTGCTTTGAGATGAGAGACCAGAAAAAGAGATCATGAGGAATAGGCAAAAAGGCAGTGCTGAACAGATGAGAAGAATTTGGAATGTAGATTTTGCTGAAATGTCTCAATTAGCTAGCCGTGTCCTAAAATACTGTTTAAAAAAACTCTAAATATGCCTGAATATGTGTTGTCTTGATTGCACTTGTCATTCATGGGAGGAAGCTTACAATACCAAGTTGACACTTTTGATCCAACAGATATAAATGTACATCCAGTCCCAACTACCAGTGGATATAATAGTATGTCCTTTTGATGTTTTTTAAATATTGAAATAATTTAACAGTAAAATAGAGAACTTATACATCAGTTCCCAATAAAGGGCAAGTTGCCATTATTTTGTGTTCTGAAGTTATTTTTTGCCAGACCTAAAAATGTCTGTCACATACCCTCCTGAACGAAAGTGTTAATGGTCTAGATCCCTCTCCCCAGGGCTAATAGAAGTAGCCCTCCGTCCCCTGGGGTAACAAGGAGCAACTTGGAATACAGAGAGCATGGACCTTGAGAGTAAAACAATTATTAGAAAGAGAGTAAAAAACAATGAAACCCTGCAAAACAAAAAAGCATGAAGGCTGCAAGGAATCTGGCCAAAGGTCAGCACTACTGAAGTTGAGGGAGACTAAAACATATATTACAGCTTACTTGATAGTTGGATCCCTGACAGATGAAGTTGTCCCATGTGATTTGCTTTGTTTTTTTGAAATTAATGTTGTATTCAAACAGATTTGGAGCTGGGGGTCGGAATTTGCAGTTGAAGGTCAGCTGGAAATTATAAGGGTTGTATTTTGTGATAGAAAATTTGAACACCATTACTTGAGTGTACCTGACCTGAGTCAGAGCTGCCCCAACATTTTGGTCCATGGGGCCACATAGCCTATGAACCATGAGTCAGCAGACTGCAAAATTGAAGACTTATGCCACCCATGGTGTTTCAAGGTTCCAGAAAAAGGGTGTATTGCTCTTTGAAACACTGTCTAGTAGAACCTTACACCTATGAATTCAAAGATTGCATCACTTGTATATCTAAAAGATATATATATTTCACATAATTTAGATTTTGTCTATAGATTTACTTTTAAAAATTCCTAAGTATAATAATGAGGGTGTCTCTTGACAATTTTGAGCCTGAAATATAGCTGAGGAGCAAGGCAGTTTCAGAGACAAGTGAAAGATTGGCAACACAGGCTATACTGACAGCAGGCAGGGCAATGGCTTGGAAAGAACAGGCAGTTCACAACATTCATCCTGGCTGAAATGATATACTCTGCTGAGATCTAGGAACCAGGAAATCACAAGGTACCAAAAAAAAATTGAAAGAGAATCTGAGACCTCCCACAGTTATATGGTGCAAACAGCAAATCAAGATTGTGATAAGAAATGCCACAAAGGTATGGTAGTCAGCTCAAAGGAATTGAAAATGAAAAGATTCCCTCATTTCACACAAATTTTGGATCATATTTAGCAATTCATAGTTCATGGCATCTGTTTTCATCAAAATCTCTTCTTTGCCACTTATTTTGAGCAGAGGCACTTCCATTCCTATGAAGCATTTCAAGCCAAGATCTTACTTTGCTATTCTTGCCACAGAACTGTTAGAGATACTAGTTTTTTCTTCTATTTCTCTTGGTGTAATCTATTATAGTATTTTTTTATTTTCCCCAAACTGTCTTGCAAGCTGCATTTTGGGGATGCCTGGTCTAAGTTGTGCTCATGTGCAATGTATGCACTTCAAAGGGGAGCCCAGCATTTATTGCATCAAGCCTGTCCCCCTCCTTGTTGACATCGGACTGGGATTGGGAAAGATGGAAAAGTCAAAAAGGAAGATGACAAGTGGGGCAAACCTTGCGAATGGATGAGAGAATCAAGTCCAGGGTGCCTCACAAGCAGATTTCCAATGAATGGAATAAGAATGAAGAGGACATCAGGGGGAGCAGTAAGTGCAAGATTCCCTAGTCGCTTCACAAATCTCACCATCATATACTGAGGCAGATGCCTGAAAGTAAACAGGTCACAGCCAATAGAAAAAATGGCACTGGGGTTAATGACAACCAACAAACTGCATCAATCAATACAAGAAAATCCTGAGAATGAAGCATCACATGTTCTTTCACCATTATGAGTCCAGAGAGACCAGGTAAAATCACTTTCAATGCAACATAAGCCCTGCAAGTCCTTTCTTTCTAATCACTCTTCCATCTTCTTTATCCTGGAGGTGCTTAATAAAGTATAGGCTTCTGAAGCACACAAGAGTAGTTTTCAATAAATCCTAAAAGTAATTTTTCCCTGAGACAAACAATCCTATGTGCCCACAATAATTTTATTCACTGTAGGTAGGGCAAGGGAAAAAAGAGAGCATTGAATTACAAAAGGCACTTGTAACAAGTGGTACAAGGAAATCAATATAATATCTTTGGAAGACATCCCTTTCTGCAAATATGTCAACAGATTTTCAACTCACGTGGAGGAAAGGAAGATGTTGAGCAAAGAGATGAATCTTTCTCTGTGTTGACCAGAGAAGAAGCTCCAGTTCAATGTTTCATACAGCTTGTCATAGAAGTCAGGGTATTCCCTAATATAAAGAAAACAAGTGAAGCTCATTTTCCATACACCTCTTAAGAGCATAAAGCAACTGCAATGAACTAGAAAATTTGTATTGTGCAAAATGGATTTTCCAAAATAGTAAATACTAAATTGACTCTGATTTTCCCCAAGGGACAAAATGATATATCAAGTGCTTCAATCATGACCAAAGAATAGTGAAACAAATTTGAATTGATTCTGTGAAAAAAAAAAAAAAAATTTTCTACAGCCATGCTGTGGTGGGGCCAATTCAAATTAATGACAGCTGAATACAACTTAAAGTTGAAGCATTGTAGCTTAGCTGACTGAAGGATCGGCCCAGCAAAATTTTGAAGGGTGATGTAAGCAGAACTCTGAGCAAGTCCTTTTCTGTTATGTTCATTCAAATGGCTTTAACACTTACACACCAAGCATTTCCAGAGGATGTAAGTTGAAAAGCATGAATTTTGCCATATGAACATGAAATCTTCCTTTCCACACATATAAAAGGAAGATTTCATGCTGTTCAAATACAGTAAAATTTGCATATTTCCACATAAAGGCTGTGTTCAAATGTGGCAAAATTCACATTTTTTCACTTACCTACTCTGTTCAAATAGGGAAACATTCAGCATGTGATGGTTAATTCAAGCATCCACTTTTTAAAATCCAATGAGGAAATAGTATATAGTGCCATTGCCTTTTTCCATATAATTCTCTTCTTTTTTTTTCAACAACCAGTCAGTCATGTCTGGTTCCATGAATAACAGTGTGCAAGGTTCTGACCCCATACATTTAATCTTCCATTAAGCCAAGCAATAGTCTCACAAATGATGCTGATTCATGAGTATGAAGAGGCCATGAAGTGCAAGAATGCTCCAGATCCCTCCAACATTGAAGGCCTCAAAGAAGAAATCGCTGAGAATGAGAGGATTTCGGAGGTGTGGGAGAACATTCTCTGGCAGGGACTTCAAGAGTATGCACTGATCTTGTGATCCCAGCTTATGTGACAAGATCTGAATCCACACACTCTCTTGGATCACATCCATCCCTGATAACACATGAAGACAAGGGTGGGTTTAAAGAAATTAAAGAAAAAGAGCAGACTGAATTCAAAATAAAACCTCATTACCTAATAGGACTTAATAAGGAATTTTTTGCATGCCAAGATTGATGGACACATTCTCCATTTGGGAAAATATCAGCAAGATAATTGCAAAATCTATGGGTATCCAGACAGCAGTGATATTTGCAGCTATTTCAGTAGAAAGGAAGTTCAGTATTACAGCAGCTGAATGACAAGTGGGAGGGAGGTTGCCTGAGTCCCAAGTATCCCCCCCTCCCCCTGCATATGCCACAGCCAGGCTGTCAGAAGACCTTAAATGCTTCCTGGACAAGGACATGTTCCCATGCAACTAATAATCCTTTAGCCATCCATAACAGAAACCTGGCTGAATCATTGACCAGTATATATGCAGTAGATTAGAGCTCTAGAGCAACACTTTCTTTTAACCCTGTACCTTTCTTTTGCTGCTGCTTGGGAACAATTGCATAGGAAGCCAGGGCAATGATGTTCCTCAGCAATGTGCTTGAGGCATTTCCCTTTAACTTGGGAAGGGTCCTCAAAGTCTCATCAAGGAGCCTCAGAATTTCTTCCTTGTGATCCACTGGAGGATCCATGTTCTTCTTGAGAAGATGCAGCCATGGGCGACAATCTTCTTCAGCAGTCAAGAAAGCTTGGCTTAGTCTCTGAAAAGAAAAAAACCTTTGGGTGAGGTAGGGGTGAAAGTAACAGAAAAAAACCTTTGGGTGAGGTAGGGGTGAAAGTAACAATCAGGTAATTGTAGGCCTGCTTCATCATTCAAAAAATACATGAGATAGTTTTATTTTTTTGTGTATATAGCATTCCACTCTTCACCCTCAGATATAGCATATTTTGAACTCTGTATTATTTACTTTGATTGCTTGTACACTGGGGAAAAAAAAATCAAGAATCCAAATGTCAAGGCCCAAATGCTGAAACCTCCTTTAGTTAGTGGTCCTTTAAGGAGAAAACAGACCGTTTGTTAAAAGCCTCTTTATCTTGGAAGGCACAAACCTCATTTAACCTTCCACTAGCTATTGGTCCTTTGACTAAAGGGGCTTTTAGAGAGAGGTGTGAGAAGGCACGTCTTGACATCACTGTGGATTCTTCTTTAGCATAATTCTTCATTTAAAGGCCTAATCTGGTGGGAAATGAGTCGATGTCATGTGAAGTGAACACAGGTGGGTGAAGTTGATTCAACACAAGTGGGCTGAGGTGGTAAAACATGCACTCTGGCAGAAAAACAAAGTGAGGGGGTTTTCATTTTCTCAAGTTGTTACTTGCTTCCTGACTGAAAACAAAACCTGGAGAACCAGCTCAGTTACAGATTAGCCATTTCACTGGTCACCATGACACTGAGGTTACCTCCCTTTGCTATTTTATAGCCATCCAACTTTTCAGCAAGCAAAAGCTATCATTCTTACTTTGATAACCTGCATAAAAAGTCAGGGGGTGGGAGTAGAGTAAAGCCAGTGGGATGCAAGATGCAGCATTCCTTGGGATCAGCCAGCAAACCTGCCTACACTGCCATAAGAAGCCTCTCTCTTCTTTTGTCTAACTATGGATCCATCAAATGCAAGCGTCAGTTTTTGGCGATGATTCCATGCTTCCTCCACTCCAACCCAGACTCCATGCTGCATGTGACCAATGAATCAAATTCTCTGATTCCAATGGCAACTGCAGACAGTTGAAATAAAAACAGAATAGAAAAAGTGATGAACCAACCACAATATCTGCCATTTTCCTATTGATCACTTTTGGAATGGCAGATAAAAATCAGGGCTGGTATCTCGTTTGCACCCAGGCATATCCTTGTACTTCAGGTCCAATCATCTCACTTGAACTCTTCCTCTTTATGATAATCATACCACACAACTTCCAGATCAGTCACAACTGTCTCTTTGTATATGCAAAACAAGATGAAAGCAGCACAATCATGAGTTCAAAGAAGTGGGTAGTGAATTTCAACGCTAAAGAAAGAGATGCCTTGTGCCAGTGTGTTGTAGGAGAATTGTATGTTGCCTCTTCCATTTCAAGAAACACAGATAGTGCACAGACAGCATGGTTCCTAGACTGCATATGAGCGATGATCATGGAAGAAACGCCAGTTTTAAGGGGAAAATCCCCCATTTACGAGATAAATTAGGTCCCAGACCCAATTTTTCTTTTTGCCAGTTAGCGAACTATTTAACTGTCCACTAAAGCTAGAAGAGGTTTGCGCATTCGAAGATAAAGGAACTCCAAGTTAGAAGTAGATTGTGCATTCAAGAAAGGACTCTTCAGCTGAAACATTGTTTAAGATAACAAATGTTTTTGTTGAGGAGAGGTTATGCATTCCCAAAAGAGCTCTTTAGCTTAAAGGCCCATTTATCTCCCCTAAATGAGATTTGTGCATTTGGACCTTACTGCTGCAGTTTCATTTTTCATTCCAAACAATCATGGTAAGATCTGGAAAAAGTTCATATTTGATGTTAGACCTATATTTTGATCTTATTTAACGTGAAATGTGACTTACATCTTATCACATCAAGTGTTAAATCCAATGTTACTTTTGTCCCATAATCCTATTGAAGTCCCATGGGATCAAAGTAAAATCACCTAATGATATTTTAGTGCTGCTCATTTTGATTAATCTTATTAAATCATAAAATAAAGTTAGAAGTTATCTTGGTTTCCATATTTTTTTCTGAACTTGAATTCTCAAGTTAACCTCATCACACCCCATGTGTGCAACAGAGAATGGCTCTGGTTGCTTCTACATCACTGGCTACTATTGTTGTGCATTTAACCCATGTTTGCTGAATTTTTCACAATTCATCCATTGTGGGATGTATGCAGAATCACCTCATTTTCTCCCCAGTGCAATAACACAGCATTGTTACTTTTGCCCCAGTTGGTGGGACAAAAGTACCAAGAAACAAGGTTTCTAAGAAGGGGTTCCCTGAGGACCTGGTTCAAACTGAAGTTTTGAAAGGGAACTCCTTTTCAGTGTCTGTAAGGAGTAGGAATTAACTTTCCCATTCCATGGTTTCTTCACTGTTTCCCACGATGCTATATACAGCAATTACATATATTTTAGGTTAGTTCCTACCTCACCCTAATGCAAAAAAGGCATTTTTGATGCAGATCCTTAAATCCACCTGGAGAAGTTTGGAATGATGTCTTCTGACAACTTTCAACTGAGATCAAGAAAGAGAGAAACAGAATACATAACACAAGAATAGAATACTTGACCCTGACCTTGATTGCATATTTAAAAAATTTGGACAGCAAGACCTACTTTAATAGAGTCAAAATTTATCAGTTGGCATTACCTTCTTAGTTCCTGCTGAAGTCACATTTTCATTTATAATCTGGCCCAGGCTTGCACCACCATTTGGCCTAAACAGGACCCTTATTCTAAATCCAAATGGAGTTGGGATTGTTATGGCTGAAATGGTGGTACTCAAACTTTGGAAGGCATAAAATGTATCAAACGAAAAGTTCCATTTTGGGCAGACATATTAGTTGTAGTACTATCATAGCTTATAACAACATTCACCTCATTGTAGAAAACGTTCAAAGTGGACTTAAAGAGTTCTGTTGAGTCTGCCAAAAACATGCAAATAAACCACTCTAATATAAATATGGTGGATGATCTTGACATATTTACATTAGATACAGTAGTCAATTTACATAAAAAAGTAATCCTAGTTACCTTCATAATGAAGGGATTCTGGACATCAATAGAAGCGAGGAAACAGAGTGCACTGAGAGAAGATGAGCGTATCTTTGACTTGGCATTTTTAGTTGTGAAGACATCAAAAAGTTTCTCCACTGTTTCCTCATATCTTTCTCGTAGCCATGTGCGAAACATAACACCAGCACTCTGGGAGCCTGCAAGACACAATTTCAGTATTAGGACAGGGTGAATGACTCTAAATGTGCCTGTAGCTAGATATTTCCCACCTCCCATAATCATTGATGAACAGAGTCCCTTGAGTGCTAGATCTAATAGCAATATTGAACATAAGCAACTTTAGCAGGATTGTAAGCAGGAATTATCATTCTGCATAACATGTCAGTAAATGGTTTGCAAGGTTATAATTATAATATTAGAATAATTGTTACTGAGTCCTTATTACTTATCATATCAGTCCAGTGCCTCTCTTTGTGCCACTAATGCCAAAATGTATCCAGTAGTTTGATTCAGTTTCATGCTGAAGGCCTTTGGAGAACAATGCCCCAAATGCTGAACATTAAGTGGCAGGATGGTCTTGCCCCTTGAAATACAGCAGAGCATCAAATCTCCAAAAGTCAGTCATCCAAATAAAAAAAAAACAAACTAGATTTCAATCCAGGTAAAGATCTGCTGTTCCACTGGTCACTACAGGCACTTGTCACTAAACAAGCAAGATATGGCAAGGGCAAACAGATGAAATTAAAAAAAGACCAAGTTTTAATTGAGCAACAAACTCAAGGCTGGTACCATAGTGCAGATGAGGAGAAAATTGAAATTGTGCCAGGATGGATTTTATATAAATTTTAACAGTTGGAGTGATATCAGGGTAAAAGTAAGTTTTTCTCCCATGTTGGGTCTTCAGGGGATTACCATTACCAAAGGCAACAGGAGAAGAATAAAAGACTTATACTACATAGCAACTGCAGACAAAAAGAGTGAAAGAGAAAAGTACTGCATATAACCATGTTGCTATATTAACCCTTTGCGGTCCAACCTCATCCCCGGGATGAAATTGAGTCAAAGTTGTCATGTTATGATAGTAATTTTGCTCAATGGAACAGTGCTATTCTTTTGCATGTTTATAGGCGTTATTTTTACTTTATCAGATGGCCAGAAATTACTCAACTGAAATAGAAATAATAAAACCTCATTTGAACCTATTTCAATAAAAAACTGTAAAAAATTGGACTTTTTGGCCTGTGAAACTTAAAAATAATAGGACTGCAAAGGGTTAATATTACACCAAGTTGAGGGTTCTTAGTGCTTTTCTCAGTAACTCTATAATCAAAACAAGTCAATTCCAAACACTCTTGGGTCTTAGTTAGCTCAGAATATCAACATTCACCTGCATTCATCCTTTTCAATATTCCGACAAAGGTACAAAGAGCTTCAACCAGCTTTGCCAGATCACAGATCAGTTATGGATTTAATTCCTACATTCTGAACCAATGGAATCAGACACACCAGCCTCAGCCTAAACTGGATTCCTCAATCCACATAACACACAACAGACAACATAGATTACCAGTAAGACAATTATGGGGTCAAGGCAAACATTGTTAGTGAACTTGCAATCCCATTTCATTTTTTACTTTCTGAAAAATTAAGAATGAAAGTCATGCAAAGAAGATAACATTGGAAATCAAGCAATTTCTCAAGGCACTTGATAAATTGCTTGACTTCCAATGTTATCTTCCTTCCTTGACACTTTAATCAGTGGACCAGGATAGGCTAATATGGTAATCCTCTAACAATGCAACAAGTCAAAAATTATGATGCAGCATGAGGAAAGGGACCAACAGGACCATGTTTTAGCTTCAAGAAAAACTCTTCCAAATTTCCATACAGAACTCATGTGTGGACCATAAATTAGTTGCCAATTTAAATCCTCATAGTTCAGCAATTTCTGGAAGGTTGTCACTGTCTGTCCAGAATTTGAAGGAGGATCCTATAGCTGCCAAATTACAATGGAAACAAAACAACCTGACATATGCATTGTTTACTTGTGCCATGTTTTGTGAAGAGTACCACTGCCTGATTCTTTTCAAGATATAGTCCCCAACCCTGCATTAATGATAAACATATCACATAATTATATAATCAGAAAAAAAAACTTGTTCTGCTGCATTGTAAGCTAAATTGACCATCCACTAAAATATATCTAATTAAACCAACACTGAATAATAAAATCTTGGCACTGCTGGTATCAGTCACATCAACCATGCTCTAGAATTTTTCTTGTATCTCTTGGAAAAGAAGAGATAAATATAACTATAAAATTCCAAAATAGAGGACACCCCATAGACCCACTGAAAGTGCACAGTATTTTTGGAACCATTGATCACTTTTCTTGCATCTTGGCATATATACTCCTTTCCTGATTACCTATTCACATATTGTATAAGTTTAAATAATGCTCCAGAAGACCCATCCTGCCACCTTGACCAACTTTCTGAGTGTAACATGCACTTCATGTATCTCCTTCAATGTTTTAAAATAGCTTCAATTCCTATTTTCAAAGATTCGCCATTATCCAGTTTCAAACAAATAAAACTCACGTTCTGTTCCAGCCGTATGAGAAGCCAAGAGATTGTTTGCCATGAAATGACTGAAGATCTGGCAAAGAGCTTTCATTGATCCAATTGATTTCTGATCCTGGAAGGGAAACATAGGAAACACTAATACACACTTCATAAGTTATTTGAAGTTTTTACTTCTCTGAATTCTCTACAGTATGAGGGATCCTACTACTTGCATAGGAATGTAGAGGGTGGTTCATGATTTGATTCACCACATTTAGGAAACTTTATATGGACAAAATGATTCCACAGGTCAATTAGACCTTAGATTACCTTTTATACAAGGATTATCACAGATGTAAATCCTCTCTTACCAATGCCTGAAGGTCACATATGATGTCATTGATGAGATTGGCAGCCTTGGCATCATGGATTATAAGCTTCACTTTTTCCATAAGCTCTAGATTCTTGACATTCTTTTGGACTTCAGGGGGATATCCACTGTCACCAGATACACCTGAGCCATCTCTCTCTCCTTCATTGTCCTCAATGTCTTCATGATCATCATCCTTTTCATCATTATCATTATCCTCATCATCATCATCATCATCATCATCATCATCATCATCCTCATCCTCATCCTCATCCTCATCCTCATCATCATCATCATCATCCTCATCATCACCCTCCTCCAAGTCTTCTGCATCATCCTCATCTTCTACTTCTCCATCTGATCCTTTTTGCCATGACTCCCTGCTCAATGATTCCGTCTTCCTTCCTCCACCTTTTTTCCTCCCCTTGCCCTGAGGGTATTAACAGAATATTGATCAGGCTCTATTGTTATGTTTATTGGTTTGTTTGCCCAAGTTCTTTGCAACAATGAAAACTCAGATTTTTTTGCCCCCAAGTAGGTCTGTGGCAAAGGGTTGTAATCTCACAAAGTCTAAAGTAAACACTTAAATTGTAGTTACCAGTTCACACTCAAGATGGCCTTTGATGAGAAGGGGCTTGTCCTCTTCTGCATCCTGAGTTAAAACCTTTTTTTGCCTTGGCTCATTCCTGTATCCCTTTGACACAAATGTCCTTTTCCTCTGTGAGCCACTCATAATTCTTGATGTCAAACAGAGCTCCTTGAGTGAATGATCTATATTTGTAAGGAAAATGGAATATGGTTAGGAGTTATCTTGTCTGTCGGACTGACTGCAAAACCAGTGAAACTCATCAGCAGCATGCTTGAACAGCAGACCAACAATGTGCAATTGGGGTGAAAATGATGAAGAAAATACAAATTGATTATTAGAAAATATGGGCCACAGAGAATTATAAAGAATAGTGGTTACAATACCTTCTGGGATCATTGCCACTATGAAACATAGGGAGAAAGTGGAACTCTTCATGGCATGATGCTGAAAAAAACCAGACCCTCTCATTGCAGATAAAGAAGCATGCACAAAAAAGCCCCCCCAAAAAAGTTTTGCAGTGAGCACACTGAATCTGCATTCATGATTGGAAAGCAAAATGTTTGGCATTTTGAATTGCCAACATGTAGATATGACTAATGTCACCCACTTTCAAAACACTGAAATTTCTAGGCTTATTTTAGACTAAAGAAAATAAATGCAGAGAGTTCCCCAGCATCAGATGAAATTTAAAAAAGATCTCACAAGAGGGGACAGGAAGGCATATAGTTAGTTTTTTCAAAACAATGGGGCAGTTATAAGACCATGATTGAGTTTGCAAGTTAGGCCTGTTATTCTGCCAGTCACATTATGTGGCTATTGTCCACAGTAAAGATAGCTACTTAGGTGCCTCACATCTCATAGTTACTTCCTGCAGACTGGAAATTACAGCTAAAATCAGATGCAGAGAATCACCTTGGCATTTTCAGTATTAGTTGTGCAAGCAGTCACAGTGAACTTAACAGGCAAAAGGTAGGAGGAAAATAGCAATCATCATCAGCTACATAGGTCAACAGCCTTTGAGAAAGAGGGATTCATCTTATTAAATTGATTCTGACAGCAATTACATCAATAAACCTATGAATAAAAGCAGGGGCAAATACCACTGAGTAACAAAATTGGAATTGGGATTACTGAATAATGCATCTGAATAAGCTTGCAAAGAAAAGAGCTTCACACATGTCACCAACAATTATTTATCTTCCACAGAAAACTGCCATATTGGATTTCCTACCCCTAATTGATTAGAGTAGAAATGAGTTTCCATCTGAAGGGTGGGATTTGGAAGAAATGCAGGGTGTCCATAAAGTGACTACCTATGTGTTTTTATTTTATTATAGACCCTGAAGTAGTCTTTTTTTATATACTTTTGTAGACTGACAACTTACCAACCTCTGAATAGTGTCAGATCTTTTCTCCTACCACTTTGGCATGGCCAATAATTAATATCCCACATCTGGTGTTTCATGATTTTTTATTCATTTGAATGGAGAAGAAATTCAGACAATGATTTGAGAAAATTTTTGCTGTTCAACCCTACTGCAACAACTTCTTACAGTTATCACGGTATTGATTGAATAATTGAGCTTGTTGGGTATTCAAAATCATAAATAATTAGGAATTTACTCGAAAAAAGGGCTCAATATGTCGACCACCGATTTCCAGACATTTCTGAGCCCTGGCAATTGTATTGTTCCTTCCATGAGAATCCCATCACTTTTCTGGCAACTGGCATAAGACTTATTCTCTTTCAAGTTGTTTAGATCTGTGGACTTGTCCTTGTAAACAATGTCTTTTAAGTAGCCCCAGAGATAATTTTAAAAATCACAAGGGATCAAAATCTAGAGGTCATGGAGGTCATTTGCCCTGGATGACAATTCGGAATGCTTCACTCCATAATCTGAACTTGTAATTGAAACAAGGGCTTGGTAAAAGAATTTTCAATGACAATAGAGTGTAAAAACAAAAGATGCGACCATTCCGAGGTCTAATGATAAACAGACTAAAAAAATAAAAAAAGCTAGTTCTCATAGATTCAGTATGAAATATTTGCCTATAGGTGGTCACTTTATGGACATCCTGTAGTATCATCCTCATGATCTGCCATACTGCCATTGAAGCAACTTGATATTTTGATACCTGGATATAGACCTGTTCAAAATGTGTATTCTGTATCTTGTATTCTTAGCAAGAAGATTAAGATAACTTTAACTCAAACCTGAAATATTACAAAGCCACATGAATAAAAGGGGAAAAACTTGCATCAAGGTTGTGTTATACCAGTGTCCTGAGAATCATGCTACAAACCTCATCTATTTCTTTGGATAGAGTAGAAATTATACACTATAGCATGTGTGCTACCATGTATAGCTTGTGATTCCACTTTTTCAGCTTTTCAGAGGCACTACTTTGTAAACATCAAGCAACCAATGATCGGATTTAAAAAGATTAAAATTAAAATGTAGATGATTGAAAGGTGATGAACATGTTTTCAATATTTCAACTCTCCCCCACTCTTTCTACTTATACTTGTAATTTGTCTAATCGGGTAATTTGGAAAATGAATACCAACAGATCTAAAGCTTCACTTGCTCTTGATCAAGGATAATGTTGACCCTGTAAGCCTCCCTAACTGGAAGTTTATTTTCTAAGCGTTTCCAAGTTTGTCCAAATGACTTGCCTAGGCCTATCAAGGGAAGGCCAGATTCAGCCTGCAGTGATAAGGCTAATTAACTTTAACGTGAGGCACCACGTTATGCTTGACATTAGCCTAAGGTCTCCATATCCATATGGATGACTGTTAACAGACTGTGTGACACCTGTGGCTCCTAGCAATGGTTATTTAACGTTAGTTCACTGGGATGGGATGGTGACAAAACGAACCATATTACATGGGCTTCATGTGCCTGATGCTACTCCTTTCATGGGAGACATACTACAACCACCTTGCATGCACAATAAAAATGACAAGTACAATGTGCAAGGAAGTAGGTATTCTCTTGAAAATCATTGGAACCAATCGTGTTTGGATTACCTGAGTGAACTGGCCAGCTTTTTCACAGCATTAAATATTTCTCAGGTGGGAAAGAAATATGTCCTTGCCAAGAGAACGATGGTTTCTCGCTCTAGCAAGCACTCACTGTTCGGTTAAAGTACAAGCTTCGAAACATTCCACCCAAGATTCACAATTTTTCCTTGCGTGCCTAGGGGAACTCATAATTGCGGCCTTGTTACTCCAAGAACTGAACTCTCCTTGACGCCCTCTCTAGCCCTAAGACCTCCTGGAGAACGTTCACAACTTAGGCGGTAGCTGCACGTGCCAGCCGCATGGAGGATGTAGGTAGCCATCGTTCAGAATTCTTGTTACTTTCATGGGGAAAGGTATGTTGGTTAGAAACTTCTGGGCCACGTATGCGGCTCTCAATTTGTGTTCATCAGTTCAGGTCTACGGGAGCATTTCTTTTTCTAACGTGAGACAAATTCGTTAGGGAACTTTTTGCTGCGTAAAATGTAAATGTTTGCTAATCGAATATTTCAGTCTGTCAAGAAAAGCGTTCGATTGGGATTCTTAGAGGCGTCTCGGGAATGTTTGTCACGTTGCATAACAAAAGATCTCGTGCCAGTATAGTTTTTCCATTTGAGTCCGATAGTTTTTTTCACGTGACAAGTGCGCGAGGAACATTTTCACTTGAGAGGAAAACACAACAGAAAACAATTGGCCAAAAATGGTACTCTCGATCGACACAGAGGTGATAGTTATACTATTAGGTTCAAAAAGTTTCGAGACTCGAGTCACCGTAATCGAACGCTGTGTTGCATACCAAAAAAAAAAACATTTTGCTGAGCGTAGTTAGGGTTCGACACTACATGCATATCAAGGGCACATGTGCTTAACCTCACGTGGCAATGATTGGGTTGCGCCACGTGCAACTCTTCAGCTGTCAGTCGGCGGTCTGGATTCACCTCGTGAAGATGTCACGTTTCGAAAAGCGAGCTAATATGAAATTTCGCCAGAGACTGTAAAACGGCTGCAGACACTTTTGGAATGCTGAGACAGGCGTATGGGGACAAGACAATTTCACGTCCTTCAGTGTTTGAGTGGCATCGACGATTCCAAGAAGGCCGTGAGTCCCAGAAAGGTGAGGTTGTAGGTGTTCTTCGACCACGAGGGTATTGTCCATCATAAGTTCATTCCGGAGGGAAGAACGGTGAATAAAGAGATGTACGTAGATGTGCTGCGGCGTCTCAGAGAAGCAATCCGGAGGAAACGACCACCGATGTGGGCAGACAAAAGGATCCACCTTCACGACAACGCACAAGCGCACAGATCGCTGATGGTGAGCAGACACTGGCACCGTCTTACTACCACATCCCCCTACTTCCCGGACCTTTCATAATGCGACTTTTACCTTTTCCCAAGAATGAAGAAGCACCTGAAGGAACGCCGTTTTTCTTCCCCAGAGAAGGTGAAGGAAGCTACCGTGGTGGCACTGAATGGGGTCGCTAAAAATGAGTTTCAGTTCTGTTTCGAGGACAGTCGACGTGGGTCCGACGTGGTGTGATGCTCACGTTCTCTCATTGCAGAACCGATGGAGCATCTGAGACGTTTGCTACTTCCCTCCCTCAGACGCACCCTCCTCTGTAATACAAAGGGCTATCCAAAGTTAGAATAACAGATGTTTTATTGGATATATGTGAGATAGATACGAGTGAATTTCGGCATGCTTTATTCTCGTGACTGCCATGCACTTTATTCAGTGGCTTCGTCAGGCCTGTCACGAAGAATCTTTTCGACTTGGCACTCGAAAGAAGCAGGCACTGCAAATTGCACCTTGTCGTTAACCTAACGCCGCCCTCCGTAGACTCTCTTCCGCAGGAAAAGCAGACGGATATATGGGGTATGGGGGAAAAAAATGACCAACGAATTTCAACCTAAATATCTTCCCTCCCGATAGAGTTATTTTCGCGAAACTTTTACATTGCATATATGAGTATGTTTCCTACTGATACCTCAAATTTCACCTAGATGTTGTTTGCCGAAGCAATTCTATCAGGAATTATTGGAAAGAAGTTAGACATTGAGAATAGACAAGAGCTCCTGCTGGTGGTGGAGTGGAGGACACACGAGAGCGCTGACATTCCTGCTTTGGCGCCTTCTAGGGACTTCTTTTAAATAATTCCTGACGGAATTGCTTCGGCAAACAACATGTGAGTGAACTTTGAGGTTTCAGTAGGAAACGTACAATGCAATGTAAAAGTCTCGCTGCATCGTTTTCTTTATCATAGGGACCATTTCGTTTCAATCCACCCAACGAAAAAAAGTTGCTCATTCGCCAAATTTGATCATTTCTTTTAATTTTGTAATTGATACTGAGGCAATTAGTAATAGGTATTCAGAAGAGAGGTCGCTGCAAATTTCTTGCTGAGCTTTCTGGTGTCAAGCTGCAGGGGCCGAATTTTTCAATTTTAGGAGTTTATCTTGCTAAACTTGAAATTCATCCAGAGAATCGAGGAATTCTATTTTATTGTATTGATAGTTATAAATGGACCGGATTCAGAGTCAGTGCAAGCAGTGAATGGGTCAACTGGGGTGAAGGGTCCCATTCGGCACAGCAACGTTGTGCCGACATCGAGAAAAGGTTGATTTTTCAACGTGATAATGTGTCCTCGATGTTGAAGCAATATTGAAATGAAACACAGTTCAGCATTGAAAATAAGTTGTGCCAGCGTTGAATTGTCAACGTTAGGGTATTACTGTACCTCCTCCATTTTCTGAGTCTGAACGAGCGCTAATACGGATTAAATGACGAGATTGCATGTATATCAGATTGATGATGGCACTCTGCTGAGCACTACCATCCCTCTGGAGGACCAAGGAAGGATCTCCAGGGGAGATACTTGTACTCTATTGAGTACTATCATCTCAGAGGAGTCCCGCAGAGGCCATATATCCCTCATTGGATCAGAATTCGAGTTGAGTACATGAGCGACCCAACTCTTTCCGTCCAGCAGAGGACATACACATCTCGCACCATCTCCAGAATTAAGAGGGGAGCACTGACACATGCCTTAGGTCAATTTTCACGTTCTAATTGCCTATTGAAAGAGATGCGAAGGCCCTAGTCCTCCTAAGCGCCAATTAGAGACTTAGGAAATGACAGCATGTCCCCTGGGACCCCTTGACCAGTAGTACTTGGAGTCTCCTTCTGCCGGGTTACCTCCTTAAATGAGTACTATCAAGGAATCCCAAAGCCTTCCCTTAAGTTGTGCGTGGGAAAAGATCGGGTACTGTGTGAAAAATGCAGTCGTTTGTTTTTGTAAGAATTGATTTTGATTACATTATTTGTGCGGCGAATCAGTCCTGAATAACGGAAGTATTTAATAAATCTCATTCTCCAGTAAAACGTGTGTGCATGTGAAAATAACAATTATCAAAAAAACACTCGCCCCGGGCGGCAAATTACCTAGCTACGCCACTGCCGCAACTCCTTATTGGGAGGTCCATAAAGGTAAAAGTTAGTGGGTCCTACCTCGGCGGGAACTGTTCCCCTCACTTTGTATCATAAGGTGCAATCGTTCTGATTCCTATCTTTGACCGTGTAAAAGACTTACGTTGAGGCGGTGAACTTTGTCGTATCGTGGAGGGTTGGATCGCCCTGTTCAGAGGTCTGTCATTTCGTCGAGGAAATACACCGGCGGGACCGCTACCCGCGTCATTGTCATGACTGAATCCAATATTAAAAATCATTCAGTTGCGGATGAGAAATTTAGAGTTTCCCCGAAGTTACCCTGGCGCCTAATTGCCTCCAGTACGGCTAACCTACCTGCACGTGCTTGCACTCTACCTACGGGCCGTTGGATTGAGTTCGTTCTGAGATTCCCCGGATTCAGCACTCGGGGGAGACGAAACACTAAGTCAGGCCGGAACACCGTGGCGAGAACTTCGGTGTTCCTTGTCTTGACTGACGGTCACCCGTTCGCCTTCCCCCAAAGGGTTACAGAAGGAGAGGGGGGCAGCTCAGGGAGGGAAGTAGCAAACGTCTCAGATGCTCCATCGGTTCTGCAATGAGAGAACGTGAGCATCACACCACGTCGTCCCCCCCCCCCCCCCCCCCCCCCCCCCCCCCCCCCCCATACCCCGACTTCATTGAAAGAATCCCCAGATTTTAAATCGGAAATGTTATGTATATTACGGTGAGACGTAGCACAGATGGTTTGAAGGCCAGGATACAAACATCCCTTGGCACCCCTGAAACCCCCACCCCACCTATGGGTCCGTATCACAATCCACATCCCTCCCTATGAATTTGCTTCCCAGGGTCCTCACCCTTCCACACCATTCCCCTGCGCAGTACTGTGATCCCCAGAGGGATTGAAAAATAATTTCGGCATTTCTTTTGTAACAGCATTTTGTTACCCTTGTTCAAAACACACTTCGATAGGTCGTGGGGGAGGAAAGGTACGTGAGCCACAGACTGTGGCTCACGTACCTTTCCTCCAGCCGACTGTGGCCCACAGTCGGCTGCCTTGCAGATAGTGCACGAATGCGAGCGGATCGGGTGCTTCACTGGACCCCCGTCGAGAGTACTCAAGTGCACTTGATAGGGGAACTAGCCATTGAAGAATCCCTTCAGTGAATCATTCAGAACTCAATCCGAGTTTTGTGCGGTTGTTGAATGCACTACTCAGTATGGCGGCACTCATAGACACGTGTCCGGCATGGTCCCTCCTGGCAACCCATCGGCTGGCGTATTTCTTCCTTAAAGTCGAAACGGGTCTTTTACATCGCATCGGGCTGTCACGTTGCATAACGCACAAAACCGATGTGCAGTTCCACCATCGGGACTCTTTAAAACCATATCGTGCATGTAAAAGTAGACTTTGGCCTATATGGAACTTTAAGGAATTGACAGACCTGTGCCAGGTCGACCATTTGTTGCATTTTTCGATAGTCATGGGGTTAGGTGCGAGGCAACAGAAAACGTCGCTGTATTTCAAGACCTTGAAGAGGGCTACTGTCATTGCTGCATGAAGGTGTATCCTGCATTTTGCACATATTCAAGCCATCCTGGCTCTATCCCTTGTCCACCATCCACTGCAGATTTTATTTTTCCCTTTTTGTGCTTCTCCTAGTTTCTCTCCTACCTCCAGGGTTTGCATGAACCTACTGTGCATGAGGGATGATATTTGAGATTACAAATTGGGTGGTGTGTGACTAGGCAAGAGCATGTGTGATTGCAAATTGGGTGTTGGTGATTGGGCCGGGGCATGCAACATACCTTGCCCATCAGAAGACTTCAGCATCTGTCAGTATTTGATGGGTAGGCATATCAATCAGAAACCCTTGTGTTGCATTTGACATTTTAAAATGAAAATCTAACTAAGATACTCGTGGTCACCAGCTCTGTTCATTGTACTATGGATCTTGAATTGTACTATGTACTTCCTTGCATAGTTGTCATCTTGAATTCACGTACCAACTTTTATATTTTTTTCTTGGCCCATCCTTGTTTTCGTCTTGTTTTGAGTCCTTATATCTCATCTTAATTTTTAAATTCATCAAAAAGCATGAGGTCTTTTCTTACCTGTGTGGGTTGAGCACAAGAGTGGTGGTATTGAGATGGTGCAATCCATACATAGTACTCTTCACAGATGTCCCTTGAAAATGTTTTTAAAACTTTTTTAAGACATGCTATTTTTCGTTCAAATGAAATTGTGTAATTATCTTATGTAAGGCTGAGTACAATAGCAAATAGACAAACTCTCAGTAGCAACTTGAAGAAACTTAAGGACATTTTGAATAGGAAGTTTCAGATATATGAAATTCTTTACAAATTAATGGGAATATTACTAATAAATAGTTTCAGATTATTTTATATAAACACCATCAGGAACTAATCCATGTATGGAGTAGGGAGGGCTACCTGATGGGCTTTAGTGCTAAGCAAGCTTGAATTGTTCTGTTTTTTGTTTTTTTTTGATGCAGCAGCTTGCTAGCTTCTCTGTATTATGCGGCATATCTACTAAGCTAACTACATCATATCCAAATGAGATTGGCTTTGTCTAGGGATAGTTTTATCATACTTTGGAATCAGTCAGCTCTACTTCTGTTTCTATTGTGTTCCCTCATATAAAGAAGCATGTTCGAAGAAGAAACAATGTAGTGTTCAATGTCAAGGGGAGCACAGGAGAATGCTTAGAGCAGTCATGAGTCCATGGCATCATCACTTTCTTTTTTCCATGGTGTATTGCAACTAGAAGTGCCTCAGGCTACGAACTTTTCAATCACCCCTCGTATATGTACCATCTTAGGGTAGGAGGAATGTACTTGTACAACATTTTCACCTCTTGGACTTCTTCAATTGCAACCAATCTATGTAAACCCTCTAACTTTCCTTTGAAGTTTCCATGAGTTTTTTCATCATTTCTGCTAATGCAACAGTAGAGTTATTATATGACATTTAACTATTTAGTATTGTTATTAATCATTGGCTTACTTGTTCTTAACCATACTAACTTCTTTATATAGGAAAAATTCCTGGGAAAACATGTTCAGGCTGATAAATAATCAAATTCCACATTGTCAAGCTATTGTGGATGCATCAGTCCGACTCATCTTTCTAGTCATCTTCTTGTAAGTCATCAAAGGCCTCAGTGTCATTTAATTATTGTGAAATTCATACCAAATGGATTTTTATTCATTTGCTGACTCTACATTATCCTCAGCTTTTCTTTATGGCCTTGGATTTTTGTGACACAAACCAGTTTATTTTTCATATCTGTAATTGATTTTATATCAAGCAAATGATTAGGATACATGCATTGTAGTCATAGCTATAACAGTCTATATTTTTTATTTTACACTCATAATTTTAACTCTTTAAAGGTATATTTTTCTATCAACCATGTAGTCTTGTTTGTCAGATATGGAACATTGGATGTTTTTTCTCCCTTCTTCATCTTCTCTTTGCCTAGATGGACAGACAACATGGTCCCCTTTTATTGTCAAATCCATGCTGAAGAAGCTTGGCTGTATGAGTACCCATATACTCCCAGCTTTGTCCCTACATCAGTGCTATGGGTGAGTTCTGAACATCTGGTTCTATTCACACATGTGAGTCTTCATGGATACATGAATGAGACTGCCTTTTAAGAAGTGGCAGATTAATGTTCAGGATTTTCAAGACCAGATCAGGACTGTGCTGATTATGATGATGTCAGTCACTGATGTTCCTAATTGCAATATGTATGCATATTGCAATATTATTTTTCAGCTTCTAACTCCCCTTTCCTGATAATGTTGGTATGCCTACATGACTGATTGAGGAAAGACAATTTATACATTTAGCTATTAAATAAAAATGAACAACCATGGCTCATTGCATGGAATGAGCCATGTTGTTGCAAAGCATGTGCAATAAAAATAATGCTGCTATCACATGTTTTTAGTAATAGCCATGTTTCTTCAAATAATTGAAAATGTGGGAAAATATTTTTGAAATAATGGTAACTTCTCATAGTGGTAACCACAGCACTCCTGGAGAGCCATTGCACTGCAATTAAGTGGCACACTAGACAAAACTTAACAGACTGAGAAAGTGAATAGGAATATTGAGTTGCCAAAATTTGATGAGGAAAAACTCCAAAGAACCCTGTTCCAACAGATTTCTGTTGGAGACATGTTAGACAGAAAATCAGTTGCTAGAGGTGGATCTGATTTTGTGCACATGCAATGATCTTATGCATGGCTGTTTAGAGCCACATGACTCAAACCAGGCAGGCAGTGTGTGGACCAATCAGAAAATGTGAAAGTTTTGTATTTTTGCTGCCTGTTGTCATGGATGAGGAAGATAATGAACCTTACTCAGTCCTTGCATTTCCTCATTCACTTCTGGGAAGTATCATGCAGGACAGTGGGCTAACAAAACCCTACACCATTTTCCATTCTTTTTTGCAGTTTTTTCATTCAGTTTCAACAGGTTTTCAACACAAAATCATTTGGTGAATGTGGTGATTATGATGAGGTCAGCTGCCTAAGAAATGTTTGAGTCAGGTGAATAATATTGCACTTGATTGATGCTCCCAATTCTGAGCAAAACCATGACATTGCCATTGGCTCATGAATTGACACGTCTCAATGGCATTACATGTTTTGATTGGTCCCCCAGCATTTAATGAAGATGGAGTGTGGGATCCAGTTAAACATGCTCTGATTTTCATCCAAAGGCATCTGTCAGGGGATGGAGAAGTGCACAGGATTGTCCAATTCCGAGCAGGGCCATTGGATGTCACTGTGCATGACCCACATTTTAGGAAAAAATCACAGAACATTGGGTCATGAGTGGCCTTAAGCCCAAGCAAGGATGAATGACTGGGTGCATGATACTATAATGGAATAGGAATATCTTGTTGATTTGAAAAATTTATGCTTGAAACTCCCCTTGCTTATTGCATGAAAAAAAGAAATTGGAATGCATGCAATAGGCAACAATTTTTGCTGATTTCATGAAATACACATGCATGAAATTATTATGCATTCTGCAAAAATAGCAATGTGCTATTGCATGAATCAGGCATAACATATGCACCAAACATTTTGTAGTTGTCTTAGGTTTTTATGCATATGTTTGAGCAAGACAAAGTCTCCTGTTATTTCTATATTCCAGTTTGGTAGGATTTGTTCAAGTGTATTGCAATTGGCATAAGGGTACTCTTGTCAGTTTTTTTTCTTCACTTTGTGTTTCAGGGTTCCTTCTGCTAGTGACAGTTTTTATTAAAATATTGAGACCTTGACTATAAATGCTTCTCACCATTCAGGTAGATGAAGTGATATGAATTAATGCTTAGATTTCATTGCAGCCTTTTGTTATTGTGGTTCCACCAACCATCTTTCTACTCTGGAAGATGAGCCGAACAGGCTGGGAAGATTTTCAAGAAGCAATGCTGGCATTTTCCCTTGCATTGGGCCTGAATGGTGTCATCACAAACATCATAAAGCTTGTGGTTGGTAAGTTTAATGCTGTGTTTTTAGTTTCAATTCCCTGTGTTCTACTTGATGCTGCCATGGCTGAGTTCTGGTTGTGTTCTGGAGACTGGGTTGCATGAACACATGTTTTCCATTTTGTCTTACTACTCTTACACATCTGGATTGAAATGAATCCATAGCAATTGTCCTCTTTATATCATAGGTCGTCCAAGGCCAGATTTCTTTGAGAGATGCTTCCCAGATGGAACGTGGAGCCATTTAAAGATGGAGCTACAGAAGAGCTCTGGACAAGTTTTGAAATTCCACTGCACAGGAGACCCATCAGTGATCATGGAAGGACGAAAAAGTTTCCCATCTGGACATTCCTCATGTAGGGTCTTCCTTTTCTTTGTTGCAGTCCCAGCTGTGATATGAAGTTGCTGTTATCAGTAATGCCACACACAACTGAAGAATCAGAATTGCATTATATGTTGAAAGCTTAAAAATTAAAAGCATCAGGAGGAGAACTTCTATGGACTCATGAGTGGCCCTAATTAGTGTCATTTTCTCTTAATTTTTTATATATATGCCTATGGGCATTAATGAGCATTTCTTCAAAGGGAAATCAGATCATGGAAATATGTATATGTTAGGATTGCTCTTCCTCGAGTGATTGCAATAAATTGTCTCATTTGCAGTTTCCTTCGCATCCATGGGATTTGTTAGTCTTTACCTGGCTGGGAAGTTGCAGACCTTTTCATCCCATCGACCACCTCATAACATGGGAGTCCTTGCACCAGTTGTCCCTCTGGTATTTGCCCTTGCTATTGCCCTCAGTCGCACATGCGACTATCATCATCATTGGCAAGGTATGTCTCTTTTAGAATTTCCTGCTTCATTTAGACAATGTTATATCTGCTGAAAATAGGGAGAATATAATTTTGTCCTCAATGGATCTTCATTGGTCTGAAGCCCTAGTAACATGTCAGTGATAATAGCATCTTTAGAGTTGGCCAAGGAATACTTGTCCCTTGGGGAAAAATGAACGAATTTATGGTCTTCATCATTGTATGAACTCCAAGTACTTGTACAAGAACCAAGCACCAAAATGGCTTGGTTATCTAGGATCATCTGAATCCTCCATAAGAGGAAAAGTATTTTTGTATTATACGGGGGAAGACATGAAAGGCCAATCACTTTACATATATATCTCTGCTCTCACTAGAGATATTTTCATGAAACTTGCACTGTGTATAGATTAATATGCTCCTAACAGACTTTTGACATTTCATCCCTTTTGATGTTAACAAAGTGAGGTAATGAGCAATTGCATATAAGAAAGTGAAATTTGAAAACTGTCAGGGAACTCCAATCTCTTGAGTCCTCCTTCCTAATTCTCTGATGAAGACCAATGGAAATGATTGTTGACCTTCGAGGTAACTCTCAGTTTTGATACTCATAGATTCACCTGTCATAGCTTTGAAAGGCTGACTTCAGACATGAATGACATATCAATGTTAAATTTCAGATGGTGATAAGAAAAAAATTGTTGTCAAGTTATTTTATGGAGACCCTGTAGAATATTCTTGACTTGTGGTCCCATGGTTTTGGTTATGGATTCATCACTGCTTTAGTAATTTTTGCAACCTGTGTTCTACGTACTCTTCCACCACTTTGCATATTGTTGTGCCACATCTTATCAACAAAAGGGAAGAGAATAAGGAGTATCAGAATGTCATCCATTCATCCTAAGTCACTGCATGAGGCAAGAGGCAACTTATGCATGTTACATTGTTTTCGAAATGAATCCCAAGTTGTACAAAGGTAGTGGGCCATAAACAGTGAAGGCACTATGCTGGCAGATTTCTGGCAGAGGCAGACGTGATGGCAAGTGGGACATGCAGTAGGTGGCCCACTACCTAGTGTAGATGACAGGCCACCAGTTCTCTTCCCATAATGTAGTAGGCATCCCCCCCATAGTATGTTCCAGATGCAGTACCAAGAGTTCCCACTAGATGGTACCTATGTTCCATGCACCCTTCAAATGCAATTAAGTACTTGCCTTCCTGATTTAGCAAAAGTGTTTCCTCACCTCTATCCTCTTTTTATTGTACAAATTATGTACAGATATGAGGAAAGCATGAAATTATGATGTTTTGATTGCAATATATGATTCAGGGAATTATTAAATGCTAAAGTTAGGTATGGAAACACAGAAGTCTACAGGAATAGGGAAGGGTAGAATGCATAAGTTCTTATGTACATTTGTTTCTCTTTTAAAGTGTATAACACAATACTCATAAAGTCCTGCTTATCCCTCAGGGTCCCATGTGATGTGTAATGTCACAGTTAACTCTTGAGCACACTTGAGTTTATGGCTTGGAAGGTGGTGGACCAGTGCTAGCAAGTGGGACATGCACCTTGTGGCCCATTACCTATGTGGATTTGTACTCCCTAGGAGTGCTTTCATCAATTGCAGGCAATGACAATTGAATGGTTTCATGGATCTTCTGGAAGTAGTGCTTCCTACATTCTCTCCTACCAAGGATGGGTACAAATTCAATCTGAAAACAGTGTATCCCTCATCTGGGTTAGTGCATACTGGCTTACAAAATGATGCTTTTCCATTCAACTGATCAGACATTCTTTATCTCTGGGTGTAGAGCAGGAGGAGGAGAATGCCATTTTTTAAGTTTCCATGTTGTATTTGACTTTCTTACTGGCTGAGGGATCTATCATTGCAACAAGACTTAACTAGAGATAAGATTGCAAAAATTGACATGAAATAAAAATTTTGGAGAATTTGACTATTTTATGAATTCATTAAGTCTGATGTGGTAGTTTGAATATTGTTTTCATTAGTTTAATCCCATTCTATTATGTAAATTGTTTCTCCTACTCCATCATTTTCCATCTCCTACCCCCATCATCCTACTCCATCTTACAGGCCTGAAAGTCATGGAAGTTGATGGATGGTTATTCCTTCCTTGTCTAGATGTTGCAGTGGGGTCAGCAATTGGAATTGCTGTGAGCCATTACATATACTTCATGTATTATCCCTCATTGAAAAGTCCTCATAGTGGTGATCCTCATCAATCTACATTGAAGTCCTCTCGATTGGATCAATCCCTTCGCTCAGTAGCCATCACTGGATCCTCTAAGATTGTGTAATATCCTCTCACATTTATCTGTGATTTTATTTCCCCCCCTCCCTCCCCACTTGAGGGAGAAATGAAAGATGACATGGCAGCATCCTTGGGTGAGAGGACACTTGCATCAACAGAAATAAAAGTCATTTTCTCTGAATCTATGAAAGTTATTAAATTTCTAGTCATTTACTTTAATATGTGGGTCATCCTAAGAGTTCGAGAACATTTTGTTCTACATCAAGTTGAAACGCCAAATGCAGCATTATTCCAAGTGAGCTTTCTCAATATACTTCCCGCGAAGCTGCACACGCTTCTGCTACAGTTCTATCAGCTTCTTGAGTCTATCAGCAAACCAGTTTGCTGGGATCACTAGCCCACTGGTTCACAGTGGGAGCATGCTCCTAGCGTGTGCCAAGGTCAGGTCACCCTTGGCAAATCATCTACTGGAATCCATTCTGCTTCAAAGTGATGCATCCATTTATTTATGGCACTTTTCCTGAAAGGTCTGTCCTCCTAAACTTCTTACAGCTCACAACCTGAGACTTTTTCTGTTTCCACAGAAACCAAGTCCCACCTCACTGGACCCAATCATCTTCTTACATAGTGGTAAAATGTAGGTCAACTTAAAAATGCGATACCTTTGCAACAGGAAGGAGCAGTTACATGAGCATTCCTATGTTAGTACCATGAGACATCAATATGAACACTATGATAAGACCATTGCTGCCAGATCACATGCAAAGAAAATATTCACATTTGTTCTTGAACTTTTGGGATGACCCACGTACATTGGGCATCAGTCAGAGCCAGTATTGTGCAATATGTTGCAGGGAATCTTGTACAGTCTCCTAAAAATTGAAAAGGAGACTAGGGTAGCATTACCCGCAATTTGTGACCTATTAGCAAAGAGGGCGATTTTCAGGATGTGAAGCAAAAATATGCTTCTATAATGTATTAGATATTTACTAGCAAAAGTTTTACAACAGGATTCTAAACCATGTTGAGTAGTAGTACCATTTATTCCAATCATATGAGCAAGTAGCCCTTACCCCATCATCTGAGTTATGAATAATATCAAGATATTAAGGTACCTGGAATAAGGAGACAAGAAAGGCCTGGTGACTTGTGATTACTATGATGGGTGTCACAGCCCCTTGCTTGTTTCTTGTACCCTATCTCACCTCTCTGGAATTTAACCTCTTCAGGGATACTTGCTCATATGTGGACATTTGATTCAATGCATTTTAAATTGGTGAAAAATTGATCCCCAACTGCTCAGATGCCACAGATGTTGCCAATTTGTTGGGAGTTTTTATTGCAGTTGGTATCACTATTCCCCCAGTGTGCAAAGTACTCTTCACCTGTAATATATTTTTAAATATTTTTTTCCCTTGTCAAAAAACTCATCCCTGAAGAGGTTAAAATTTCTGGATACACTACCTTGATGGAGGTTTCTTCTACCTTGAAACACATAGAGACCCTTATTAACCTATTCTTACTTCTTGTCTCTAAGAGGGATGCACATCTGCTTTCCTGATGTTAAAACCCAGATTCATGTAAACCAACCTCACTAGAAACACTTATATTTTTACAAATTTACATGAAATTCCTTCCTTGATTACCTTTGAAGCAAAACAATGTTGAGCTGAGTAATTAGAGCAGTAATGGAGGCAGTTGAGATTGGTGCATTATTATGGCTTGGTTTGTCAATGCCTTTTGCAGTCATAATGCTAATGCTGCCTCAGATTGGTCAAAGATGGCCAATTTTGCCCTGATGGGTATATTTGAGGTACCCTCATGAGTTCATGAAAAGTCCATTTAATGCAAAATGATTCTTGTATGCAAATAAAGCTCAAGGAAGTGGTTCAGTGATATTGCTCTTTCATATGCTTCTGCATTTGTCAATTAGCAAGGCAGATTAGACCTTTTGATTCAGTTCCTCAATCTGCAGGTTGGCTATGCCTATTTCTCAGCTGCATTTACTAATGGAGCAATTTGAAAATTGTATGCATCTGCTGAAAGTCATGATATGAGAAACTTGAAGTCGAAGGTGGATAGTTTTGAAAGTTTTGAAATTAAACAACTGAAAAATCTGGCTTAGAGAGTTGAAACACTGTATAATACGAACATTTGTATAAAATGAAGTAAAGATATCAAATACATCCCAAAGTTTCAGGTAGAATTGATAACCTTTCCCTTTGGTAGAGTGACTGAGTGAGCAGTTTTTGATTTGACTGTTTACTTTCCAGACCAGAGATTTCAATTCTTTGATTGTCTGGATTCCTGTTGTCATTTTATACTCCTTTCCAGGCTATAATGGGCAGTTTCCCCTGCTGCACATGGGGGTAAACGATTTGAGTACACCCTATTCTAAGATGCCCTACATTTCATGCCAAACACATCTGTCACATTCTTCATGAGGTGTACAAAGAAGAGTGAATATGATGTGATGAGAGCCATTGAAGTGTTCAGTTCCTTATGTTTCATTTGAAGGACATATTGATGTGATATCTTCAGGAGCATTCACTTGTGCATTCAGTAACATCTTATGGGTTGTCAATTATAAGGACAGCAAATGCAAAAAATACAGACATGGCATCCCCTACACTTGAGACATTTTGTTGTTCTTCAGTTGCTAACGAATCTTCTCCAATTAGCCATCTTCTCCACTTTCACGTGCTACCCTACAACATCCTTTGCATCACCACTGCTTTTGTTGGTGTTTGTGGTGCCACATATCAGGTATGTGAAAATCTTGTTATTGAGAATAACCAAATACTATGACTGGGGTTAACAGCCCAGCTACTTACCTTTGCTGATCAAGTCTGATTTACTCTCCAGTAGCTATCCTACTAATCAAACTAGGAGTTCCCATTGTGATGAGCAGTGGAAGCCTGAGGTGTGGGTATCATTGACTTTAAAAAACACCTCATCATAGTAGCATCGGATACCAAAATACAGCCTTGCTGCGATAAACCAGATCTGCTAATTTCCTCTAGTCCTGTTGTTGAGTATACAGGGTGGGCCAAAAAAAACCACCCCAAATTTGAAGTTTAATAACTTGGGCCCTGTTGAGCCAATATCAATTTTAAAGAAGCAAAATGAAGCTTGTTCAATTTTCTTTCGAATGATGGCTTTTTGGGGTTTGCTTTAGAGAAATAGCCACTATTACAATTTAAGAAAAAGTGACGAAATCATTTCTTGAAAATGGGCTTTTACTCCAAGTTCCTTTTCCTCAACCTCAAATTTATCACTCACATGCTCACAGACCCTTTTAATGACCCAAAAATGGTTCAATGTGCCCCCCTCCATGATCTACAACAGCCTCATGTTACTTGCTTCATGATTGCATGATCTCTCATCAACCAATCCGTATCATGCAGGGGTGTGTGGGAAAAGGGGGTGCACGGAAGAAACAGGCGACAGCAGCAGTGCGACATTGGAAAGAATTCAGGATTTTTTTTTTGTCACTTCTTTTTAAACTGTAATAGTGGCCATATCTCTCCCGCAAATCCCCCAAAATTATATATCATTCAAAAGAAAATTAAACAAGCTTAATTTTGCTTTTTTAAAATTGATATTGGTCCAACGGGGCCCAAGTTATAAAGCTTCAAATTTGGGGCAGTTTTTTTTGGCCCACCCTGTATGTATGGTCTGCTACAAGAAAATCATACCCTCAGATTGATGGGAATATAAGAAATCTACAAGTAAAAAATTCATATATGGAATAAAGTTAATTTTACCTCAAATAGAGAAGCCTACTTCTTTTTCTTGAGGAAAATACAGTTTAATCCAGTAAGCAAGGAAATTCATGGAAATATAGCCCAGACATCTATCCACATTTACATCCACTTCACACAGTGTGTGAAGTGGATGTAAATGTGGATATATAAGGGGATCAATACACTCACTATCCTTTCCCTTTTAAAACCCTTATGATTTGTACCTGTGCACTTTTTGACTTCTTTCAAGGTGTCAACAGTTTCATTATGCCTGAAATTAGTGCATCAAGAGGAATTACATCAACTCATTGCCTAAATGTGACAGAACCTGGTAATAGTAGAGAGACATTGTAATCACAACTAACTGGTCAGAGTGACCCAAGAAAAGGACCCTCTGTTGGAGGTATGACTCATCCTATGCCATATTACTTTCTAAAGAGTTTCCAAATTAGTTTGCTGCTTTTTAAACGATCTCATTGATTATCATTTTTACTGGTATTATTCCTCATTCATGTAGAAGCACATGAGAATAAATCCTGTTCTGAGCCCAAAAGCATACTAGTAACAATGACCCATAATCTCTCCCATAGAGATTAAAATTTTCTTGAGTCAAAAGAAAAGCCTGACCAACCAATTCAGAAGAAATCTGCAGTTGAGTTTTCAGACTACCTAGTACTCTGAAAATATTGATATTAATATGAAGGAATTTTTTTTAAATGGAGTTTCCTCAACAATGTAGGAGAATGTGAGCATCAAAATAATAATAGCCACAGAATACGACATGTTGAGATCACTGAGGTGAGACCCTATCCCTGAAGGAAAAATTTCCTGGACTCAATGACAAATGCTCTCCATGCTATCTCTAGAGTGATACTTTGACTCTATAACATTCTAGGAGGACCAATTCTGGTTGTTGTTGCAGCTTGTTACAATTGCCAGTCAGAGGCACACCATGGGCTCAGTGTCATCATATGTTTCCTTGACCAGCAAAGGGAGGCAATTAGCAATCATCTGCTGGCTTGCATTGGCTGATCTCCTTGCTGCTCTTGGTGAGGGTTTCATTCTCTTCACATTCATTGCAGATGCTGGGAGCCCAATTCTTAGATGTCTCCTCATTTCTGCAGTAACATCCACTCAGGTGGATGTTACTGCAGGAATGAGGAGAGTGAAACAATGAGTGCACTCTTTGTTTCATATGAGGGTGGGCATTCATACAGTTACCTCATGGGATGAAAACATGTATCATGTCTACTGGGAACAACTTGCCTCAATTTTGCATTGTCTTTTTCTTTTGGTGTGTCACTTCCTGTGATGTTTTTCACATAAGAAATTGGCTCGTACATTTATGTTAACATTATCATATTTTTATAATGAAAAAATACAGCAACCGATTTCATCATTAAGGTCTTACACTGTTTTTACATTATTGTAACAGTAAACCTGAGACTTGGGGAAACTAAGGAATATGGTTGGAAATCCAAAATATTTGAAAATGGGTAAAACGAGTCTGACTTAAAAATAAAAAGAAGTAATTTTCTCCAAAAAAAAATTTATATATTATTATTATTAATAAATCGAAGATTAACCTATCTATTTCCTTTTCCACTACCACTGCATCCCTTCTTTGATAAGTACAAGTCACTACTCCATGGAGATTGTGCATCTGTAGATAGTGGCATAGGGAAGGGGGGGAGTTTAGGGAGTTAGGACCCCCCTTGGGCTTCCCAGTTAGTGACACTGATAGCCATATTTCAACCTTCCTTGGCAGTTCGAATTTTAACCAGACCCTTTTGAGGAAAGTCTGATGTCTGTCCACAGACCCAAGATGCAAGACCATTTCTTTGAAAATGTAAATTCCGGGTAGTGGAGCTAGGCGTAGGTTTGGAGTGTCTACATGGCTTCAACCCCCCCCCCCCCCCCCCCCCCCCCCCCCCCCCCTCTCTCTTTCTTTGTGCTAGAATGAAGGGCAGGCTTTTGATACAGCTGCCCCCTTGCCGATTTCCTGCCTGTCACTGTCTGTAGGTGATATCTAATTTGGAAACGAAGGAAGGATGCATTCCGATCATCCACGTTCACGGTGTTCATATTGGAACTTTGTGGTGATAGGTATTCTCGTGCGGGCGGCAGTGTGGCTCATCGATGCGATGTTCATGCTTCAGCATACCTTCACGGCTCAGCTCTTCTGTGCCATTCTCTCTGTGAGTCTTTGATACCTCGTCTCTTTCACATACTGCCGAAAATAGACGAAATTACACTGGAGGGAAGACGCATGGGCATACTCGAAACTGCACGTTTCTTGCCGGAGTCCAAATCACGGCCGACTTACCTTGCATCGATTACGCTTTGCGACGTAGGGATTTCATAACATTGAACATTTTTACTTCGGAAAGAAAGGCATGATATTCTCATCCACACGAGAATCGGAAGAAATCAAGAGCCACAAGTGAGGTGGATATTAAGAATAGGGCTTAAGCCTATTTTTGCTAAAGGGACCGGAATTGGTACCATCGTTGAATGGACGTTTGCTCTTGTTCCCGGATTCCCGACCTGTAGATTGGACGGGGTCATGCAGGTCACCATTGCCTGCCTCCATGATTCGACTCTGGAAGCTGTGACAGCAAAGAAAATATATATTTTTTAATTTTTAAATCGCAATAAAAACTTTTATCCCGTGCTTCGTTGTTCTTCATCTGCGTGCTTATAGGATGATAATTCGGATCTCGGCTGTTGCGTTTTTGTTCTGTCACTCGAGCCATGTCATGATTTCCGCATCGTGCGAAGAATGAGGGGGAGGGGGGAGGGGGTTGGAGACTTGAGGTGAGTGATAGATGCTGGGAAGCAAATGTTCATGCTGTCTCACCAGTCACTAGGCTCATCGTATGCAATTTATTGCCGGTTCGGGACCTGTAGATTGCGTCCGATCGGCGTTCGTTCCAAAAGATGCGAATCGGCGCAGGATCGACAGCGTTATTGACAGGTTATGACTCGCCCGTGAAATCCGGAAAGTGAAATGTTGAATGTGCCCCACACGACCCACGCCATATCGTGTGTCTCGTTTTGACGGTAAAGGTGCTGTGCACCTTGAAAGTTGCTCGTGACAGTTCTGAGCCTAGGCATCCCGTAAATTGCCTTTTTCCGGTTAAGATCTTCTACAGGGTGTCCGGTAAGTCAGGAATCTTAGGGAAATCTTCACTTCACACTTTCAGGCTTCCTTATGATTCCTGACTTATCGGACACCCTGTACAAGACCATGAAGGAGCGTCCTCGTCTACTGACTGTAAGCGGTGCCAAATTGAAGCGGATACCTCATTCCTCTCCCTGCCCTGTCTTTCAAAATCCTCCGTTATCTTTTGTGTCTATTGCGAGTCCTGAAATATGCACTCGGTAGATCATAGGGCGTTATTTCACAGCATTGCACTAACCGAACACGGTAACACCATGGTATATTCCATAATTAATCATTTCGCTCACAAACTTCTTCCTGGCCGCTTTTATAGGTTCTTTTTACATTAAAAAATGTGTAATTTCACCCGATCATGTAAAGGAATCTTAGCATTCTGTTTTTTTTTTTTTTGCCACGACGTTATCGACTATAGTAGATCGTATCGATTGCCTTTTTTACCATCATTGTGGACAACGTCTGAGTGGGTTCCCTGCTCCAATAGAGAAACCTCATGAATGAATAATATTATGAGCGACAACCGCCAGGTACGGAAACGGAATTAAACTGCATTGCAGGCGAACCAGACGAGCCTGCAGGTGCGAATCACCTCTAATCCCCTTTCACCCGCTCTCTTCAACCCCTGACTATATTTTCCCTCTGTGCGTACATCAGTGCTGCACAATCTGCCTGTTGGCTTGTTTACGTGCCAGTTGTGTCCCTGTGCGCGCCTAGATCAGATCCAACTGGAACCTTGAGGTTTTGCTAGTTGAGTTAAAGAAAGCAGTGTGGAAAGGTCGAAGAACAGAAATGAGAATTTGATTGCTAGCAGAACTAATGACATTCCGTGATTTTATTTTATTTTTTATCATGTTAATTTAATTTAATATAGAAATAGTTTAAAGTCATACGCACCCTAAGCTTTGTGGAATTCACTAAAGTATTTGGAGTATTTTCCCCATGTCAAAGAGCATAATTCGGACTTAAAAGGGTTAACACTTCGAACCATGGAGGGGAACTCTAATATATATATATTTTCCTATAATTATTATTTTAATGTATTGCCCATACTGTAGGACTAGGAAGCTTCGATGAGTCCAAGTCCACATGGACCCGAGGAGTAGATCTCTGGATCGCTTTTCTTCGGCAAAAAATACCTGTAACCTATCGGTACGAATTGGGTATGATTTTCCTCGCGTAGGCGTGGTCTCACTATTTCTACACGGTGACCTACATGTGGACGTTGATATACGCCTTGGACATGTGGCGGACACTCCAGGAGAAGCCTCCTAACACCCGCGTCTATCATCTTTGCGTCTGGGGGTCATCTGCACTTCTCTCGGGGATCGGAGTTTCCCTGCTCTATGCACCATCACTGGAGTGAGTTTATTTTATTTTATTTGCGAAAGAAATCGAAAGAGTTGAGAGTTTGAGTAGGAAGCAGACAGTTTAGGAAATAAAAGGTATCGACGAAGTAGACGTTTACAGATGGTACGTCAAGGCCTCTAAAAAAGTTGATATTTTCGTTTCCCATTCTCTCCTGTTTCCATACGCAAATGAGTATGCGAACATGTTTAATATTGGTTTTAGCCAACCAATGAGCTCATCCTCGAGTAATGGCCAATTGATCCTTTGGTGTCTATGTGCCATGCATCCACATGCTAGAATGTGCGTTTGCACCCGTGCTCATTTGGGTTGAAGACGATGCCAACGATTTCGAAGGCGTCCACATTCGTCTTCCATTTTGACCTAATGTGCGGTGCGAAGGAAAATTGCGTGGTGGCTTTTCTTCCAAACCCGATTCCAAATGCTATCATTGCATTTCCGATTTACTTCGAAATGCATGTAAGCACGCGAATGTTGCATGCTTCACTATCACACGAAAGACGCATAGAGACACGAGACATCTACGGCTAAATCTTTGTAGTAGATGGATATTGCCGGTACGCTGTACGGTTATGCCTAATTTTATATATTTATTATTTTCAGTACGACTTGCACGGACTGGATGTGGTGTATTTCAGTATATTCCGCGCTTTGATATCCTGTTTATACATTCAAGTGGCTCATTTTTTTAAATTATCGGCTGGTATAAGAAGAGGAGGAATTTTACTCAGGTTGTGCCGAGTGCAAGTAAGAGGCCGTAAATTTCCCTCTCCTTATCTCTACACGTAGTAGAAGCGCTCACTTTAAATCTGTTTCTTCTCCAAAACTGAACAGTTTCTCGGTGCGAGTTTTCAGTCATCATCGATAGGGAATCTCGAAAGGAAAGAAATAGAAAAGCTTTCTCTGACGTGACTTCTGGAATCCAAGGATGTAGTGAAAGAGCTGATGGCCCCGATACGATAGGCTATGATGCAGGTGCACTGTTTGTGCCTCCTGCAGGAACCAGCGGAAGCATGAAATTCTCCTTCCTCCCCGAGTGGCCATCCATTGGGAGGACGATCGCCATACCTTTCCAAGACGCATTTTCTGACTTTTTGTATTGTCGCAGGTGGACGCTTACGGTTATTCTACCCAAAAGATTTCGACCATGATCTGGCACGAGAGGTTTCGATGTCCCATGAAAACGATGCCTGTGTCGAAAAAGATACATCGAGGAAGGTTGCTCTAACTTCCGAGGGTGCTAAGGCAATCCACTCTGCTTTCGTGATTCCTAAACACACAGGTTTTCAAGGGACTCTTGGTGCTTCTCTACAGTACGTACAGTACATGGCTGAAATTACACATGAAACCGTGGAAAGGGGGTATGTTGGCAGGTTGTGGTGCAGTGCTTCCATCTTACTCCTGCAGCGGGCACTAACAGCCCACTCACCTAATGGCCCATTGCGTAGTCGGGAGTGCCACGTAGCACCAAATCTCGTTGCGCCATAAACGTCTTGCCGAATCCCCTCGCTGTCTCTACCTCCATGGTCAAATTCTATGGCCAAGGATGTAGGAAGGGGGGGAGGGGCTCCATCTTTAGTTTCTAGTTAGATGCATATCTCTGACTCGAGGATCATGTTCTGGCAAATGCAATCACGGAACTCCTCACCACCTACCCGAGTGTTTGGAGCAATTTGAGCTACCCGATCCACCCACTTTTGAAAAAGTTCCAATGTCCATGGCGAAAGTCGTTACACTTCCCGCTTCATATTCATTAGATCCCCGAAGCTAGAGAAAACTGGCACCTTTTCTTGGATAGTGATGCAAAATTCATGTTTATGAACGTGGCATTCCATATACAGAGACTTCAAATAAGTAAATAGACCCTCACTGAGATTAAAATAGACCATTCCAGTCACATGATTGATTATTGTTTTTAAAACAGGTACTGTACATGTTTGAGGAAGGAAGTACACTGTATTAACCCCATTCATATCTCGTCAGTACACTGGTTTCAGGAAAAAAAAAAGCAAGATTTCTTTCTAACATGGGATTCTGGTTACTTATGCCAAGTCTCTGTTTATACCTAAATAGAAGTTGGTGATCCATCACAGCAGAACAGAGAAATATGAGCTTTCCTTAGTAAAAAAAAAAGTATGTTGTGCTTTTTGAAGAGAAGTGACTGAATCCATGGTGTTTTATTTTGTTTGCAGTTGTCACCAAGCTGAAGAATATGGTTTCTGGTACATCCTCCCTAGTTACTTATCCACATACATCCCTATTCTTCTTGTCATGATTGCTAATCCCATCATCTACAGAATGGCCTTCCACAAGGTGAGGGGATAGTAGCAGTCTTTGGTGGTGCAATTGTGAAAGAGACTAAATGCTCAGTAGCATATTTAAGAAACACGGTTTCAGGCTCTCTAATAAAACCTTGCTTTTCAGCTCTCTCAACTAACCCGCTTGGCCTCAGGATTGAAAGTTCTTTTTATGATTACAAGTGGTTGGTTCATAAAAAGTATCTCTTAGGGTCAATAATCATGGCTTTCTGATGGTTGTTCCTATGTTGACTCATCTTCATCTATTATTCCTTTCTTTCAGATTGAAAGTTATGTGATACGTGCAGAAGGAGCATTGACAAGCAATGAGTACCAGCTGATTGATGCCCTAAAACTCAGATTTTTTCTCATTAACTGTGCATTTTGTATTTGTTGGTTGCCAAACATACTCAATGGGATTCTCCTCTGGACTCTCTGGCCTTCATTTGGTGCAGCACGCAATTTCATCCTTTTCATCTGGTATACAATGGTGAGAGTATTACAGAATGATAATTACTTTTTTCTGCTCTTATATCCGGAAAAATGAGTGCTTTCCCACAATGAAAATTACTTTATTATAGAAAAAATTCAAACTGTGCTGCATTTAGATTGACAATGTCTGGATACTCAACATTTTCTTTGGCAGCAAAGAGAAAAGACTCTTGCCTGTCATTTATTGCAATTCACAAAATCTGTGTATAAATCCTCTCTGCTTTTAAATGGAGTAACTGATTAAAATGGAATTAAAAATACAGTAAAAAAAATGGTGTCAATGCAATGTCTGCTGAGGAATTCTAAAATCTGGTGTTATACCTACCATTAGGGTCGCTTGGAAAAATGTATGGGGCTACAGTCAAGTTTTGGAACTACTGGCTTCCCTTTATTCCCTTTTTGAAGAAACTCGTTCACTTTAGTTGGATTTTCAATATGTTCATTAAATTGCAGTTAGGTTTTTTTTACAGGCGATTTCCCCAGGTTAAGATATCTGCTAGAGAAGGTTGAGATGCTCACTTTCAATCTTGAGAGTATCTGTACAGAAGGAAAAGATTTAGTATCACAGGATTTGTACATGTTGAAGAGTTTTTTGATAGCACTAATGTCAAGACACTTAGTAATATTTAATGCTTTTGTGCATGGTTTTGCATTGTCATTATGTCATGACCACTATATTTCTCAGAAGTTCCTAGCTCTATATCTGGAATCCAATTCCAACTTCCTTTGCAGGCTGTTGTGAATCCCTTGCAAGCATTCATGAATGTATTGATCTATGGAAACTGGAGGAAATGCTTCTACAAGTGTTGTCTTGGAAAGGTCCGTGGAGAGGAACAGACCCTCCTTCTTGAGGCAAGTTTACCTAACACAAGTCACATTATCAACTCGAGTCCACATCGGGTTAGGGCCAACGGAAGAACATAAATGCAGAGTGATGTATCCCTTCAGAAACAATCATCCCTGAGTTCATAATATGTGGGTGTAGCTCTGAATGATATAGAAGCAAATGAAAGAAAAGTAGATGATTCAAACTTTATTTTTCGAGAGTTGATGCAATTAATTAATTTTGATTCAATAGGAGATGTGATATCAGTTTATCTGTACAGCTTAAGTTGCACTGTGAGTTCACTGCACTTTAAGCAAACACTAATTCTTTAATAGCATGTTTATGGCCTTCTATTAGCCCTGAGGTCTGGTCATCATTCCCATGTAAAATGCTGCATACCATTTACACATTAGCTTGATCAGGTTGGAAAATGCTTTCACTTAGTTCTTTTTGAGAAGAGCAAGTCAACAGCTTTTCATGCTTTTATTTTTTTAATGACAATCAAAGCCAAAAATGGTGCAATATGAGGTTAGCCCAAATGATGGTTTGAACATTCTGTTTCAGCTACATATAATCCTCATCAGCAGTCTTCAGCCTGTGTGCCGTGGCACACGGGGCATGATAAGAGGTTGGCAAGGGCACTGTAGGTATTTGGGGAATTTTTATAATTTTGACCTGTCAACATAGTGCAAAAGTTGAGGAGGTTATAATGCTACTTTACTGGTGTAATCAAGAAGCACTTCATGGAGTGAGCAGCAAACTTACGAAAAAAGCCACATTAAGCCACACTTCTGAATTCAGTCTATTCTCATAATAGAAGTGTACACCAGCAGTATGCAATATAAGTTGATATTGATCAAAAGTGACTCAAATTGCAACCTCCTTTATCAAAGAGGAACAGCAAGATCAATGTTGTTGCTGCAATGAAGATCTATATTACTTTTGCCTCCAGGTATGTACCTTCTCTTATTTAAGGGATATAAAAACAAAAGTTCAGGTCATGTCTCACCATTACAAGTATTCATCACTTCAAACTTTGAGTTGTGCCTTGATTTTCTGGTCAATCAGAGGCAGGCACAAGGATCACATTGAAGTGAAAAATTGAAGAGTTTGAATTAATTTTCTTGAAATGATGGTTTTGCCAAATTACCATTCAAAATAAACCTCTCATGAATGAATTCAGAGGTCCTGGTTAGGCTTATACAGGGTGGGCCAGAAATAAGGGAAATGTGTTTAAAATTCATGTTTAATATTGCAGATAGAAATAAACAGGAAATTGCATTTTATGCAGAAATGCAATGTTTTTGTTCCACTTACACTAGGCATTCAGAATGAGCACCCTTTTCTCTACACATCAGCAAGCATGCTTTAAAAAGTTTGGCAGAACTTTCTGGAGTGTTCCTTTTTTGATACTAGCAATGGTTTTGGTGGTTTTTCTTGAATATTAATTAGTTCCTGAATGACCTTTATAGCATTTTGCACTGAACCTGTGGTTCTGAATTTCTTCACCAAACCTATTATTGCTTTATAGCCATTACACATGAGTCTGGGTATTATGAAAGAATCCTTGCACAATTTTTTGTGACTTTGTTTCAAGGTAAAAACACACTGCTCTGTAGTGAATTGCTTCATTGTTCACTAGTATTTGTAACTTTTAAAATGTTTAAGTTGTTCCATGACACAAAATTTGTTGCATATTTCTCTCCAATAGATTTTATATAGGTATAAATCATTTCCATGGCCCACCCTGTATTATTGCGCATGAAGGTGTTTATGGGTGTGAAGGGATGCTGTCAAAATCTTGCTGCCTGAAAATGGTGCTGTTGCAAAGAAAAGGTTGATAATATTTCAGGGTAATTTTTATAATGTCTGACTTTTTGTTCTTCTCAATAGCTTCAAACCAAGTAAGTTGCGAAGAAACGGGAAAAAAAGGGTATATAGCTGGAAATATTTATGGACAAAAATGTTTGTACAGCATTTGCATTGTTAAAGGCTCTTTCTCAAACTTCTGACTAGCAAGTGCTTCACATGGATATGCAGGCATGCAGAAAGACCTTTTATTTAGTCTTTTACTGAAAGTTCATTGCCTCCAACTGCTTTATCAATCTGTAAATAATAACCCTGGAATGTGGTGCTCTAGTTTTGATCTTTAGTTGGTTCTGGTAATTGAGGCAGTGCTGTTTGATGGATTGGTTTTACTAAGTAAAATTTTGCTTGATGATATAACTTGCTTGAGGGCTGTGACCTGTTGAAAACATTTCCAAGTATGTAGTTTATGTATCCATACATATCTTTCAGTCACATACTTGGTTTTGTTGTTTTTCAAAACATCTGATGCATTATTCATTCAAAAACACCCTGTAATTCAGTCTGGTCCTAGCAGTGTGTTCTTAGCAGTTGCCTCTTTTCCAAATTTAATTTTTTTCCGTGAGCTTCACTCCTCAATTTGAATTTTTGTATTTCTTATACAAGAAGTGGTGCAAAACACAAGCTTCCTGCTTTGTCTAAACCAAAGCTTGCCTTTACACAAGCATGGAACTTGGTATTCAATATGCTATGATTAGCATTCAGTGAGTGTAGTTTTTTTGATTGAATTGACCTTTTTACTTGATTAAACTTTTATACCCTTGAGCATGTACCATTCTACCTCCTATCAGCATTCTGTTCTCCTACCTATAGGCAGACAAAAAATGAGAATAAATGAAAAAGCTCTAAATGTGATTTAACATTCTTTAGGCAGGAAGGTGACATGATCCATTGTGATATGTGAAGCTGAAAACCAGGAAGATAGTGTCAGTCTTCACAATCATGCCACAGGACTTGAGCTCCTGGTTGATAAATTATCCTTGACAAAGCCAAGCTTAATTTGGTGCTAAGTTGAATTACTTTCACAGCATTGATGATTGAACAGTATGAGTCTTGCAACTCCTTCCATTCTATATCAACAGTTGAAAATGTTGTTACTTACTTCATTAATATGATGCAAGGTTTGAAGGAAAGTAGGCACTGCAGTCATGCAAATATTCTCTATTCTCTACTTCCTCATTCATGTGAAAAAATTTAAAAAAAGCCTTGGCACTGGCTCACTTCTGTTCCAAGAGGGCAGCACCAACATCACAAGAGGTTAAAAAAAAAGTTAATGTTAGGATTCTCCATTGTGCTAAACCCTAGAAAAAAAAACACCAAAAATTGTAGGTTTCACACTGTCAAGCATAGATCTTTAAATGAATGTCCTACTTCTTTCCTGACATCTTGATCTCATTCTTTGATTTTATAAACCAGCAAGAAAACTTTCATGAGATTCAACATTAACTGTAGCCAGTCAAAACTTCCTCAAAAATAAAGCTGTATCAAAAGCCTGCCCTTCATTCTAGCACAAAGAAAGAGGAAAGCCAAAGAATGGATCAAGGAGACAATTCTCATTGTAATCTTGGTATCTTCTCCTTGGACTTCTCTAAGGCAGAAAAATAATTCAAAATCCAACCACTTCAACATGAAGCATATCAGCGAACAGCCCCATTCATTTCTGCAGTGCATCCCAAGGTGCTCTCATCCAGGTGAACCTTCTTGGAGGGAGACACCATGGAATGTTCTTCACACTCTATTGTAATGGAGCTGGTACGTGGCCTTTTCTTGAAGGCTAACAGCTTCTCGACATCTGCCTTCATTGATTGCATGGATCTGGATCCTACCATTAGGTTATCTGCCTTCCTCTTCATCTCCTCATCCTGTCATGTTTAACAAGAAATATGTTTCATAGCACTTTGCCAGGTCAAAGGACTTAGTTTTATACCAGTTCATGCATAATGGTATAAACAGAAACACAGGTTGGTTGACAAAGATTTCTCTAAACAGCAATGAGTCTACATATTACTCCAGGAACATATTCACAACTGTCAAAAGTCATAGACTTACTTTATTTGTTTTCAATAGGATTTCTGGCAGAACAGGGTGTATTTTAATGTGCAGTTCTGAATTGGAAATTGTGCATTTCAAAACTGGACAAGAATTATATTTTGAAACAAAAATAACTCAAATTAGGGCAGTAACCTAATCACTGAATTCCTGACTTAAAAATGGTGCTAAATCTATTTTTGGTTCCCAAATACCTGGTGGCCTACAAAAAAAAGTCCAGAACTTTACACACTTGCAGATGGTGTACCATATGAGTTATTGACAGAAAGTTTATAGGCATTTACATGCAATGTTTTTTTTCCGGCAATGCAACAAAATGTTTATAAAATCAGATATAAACTATGTGAGTAACAATTTTTCTCCCATGCGATGTTAAAAGAGTGAACGCAAAGAAATGCACCTGACCTCAATGAAATAAATCTTTAATGGGTCCTCCATGGATGTGTCTGACAATCGCCTGCCAGCAAATGCAATGACACACTTGCTCATTTGACGACACGTATGGAAGGAGCTCTTACTTGTTTTCAGAGCAGGGTATTTCAATGAAATTTTCCTGAAACCACCTAGACATATTGGGTATGACACACTGAAAATTTCAAGACGATGCTTAGTATGGTTTCCATTCTACAGATGCATGAAGTTCAGGGGCCCGTTCCTCGCCTGTGCTAAACTTAAATCTAAATCTTAGTCTAAAGGGTCAGGGCAATGAAAAGACTTTTTGCTTTTAGACTGCTTTTAGATTTAGATTTAGATTTAGATTTAAGTTTAGCACAGGCGAGGAACAGGCCCCAGGACTTTTTTTGGGCCACCCAGAATTTGAGGGGGAGGGGACACTTAGCCCCAAGCAATGACTCCTACATAGAGGTTATAATTATTTGTGCTGTTCTGATTTTGGGCAATATGCCCAGTGGCATAAGTTCATTTCAAGAAAGAGACCACCATAAGCAATACGGCACCAAACAATGCTGGGTCACAGATTTAAGTGAAAAATAAATTTAGGAAAAAAGATGTCTCGGAACTTGTCCCAAACAGGATTGAGAGCAGTGGTATTTTTAAGAGTCAAAAAGATGCCTAAACCTCAATGGCAGTGAAAGCTGACCTGGAACCAAGGATGGTCTAGCGTGTCATCAAGAGAGAACCTTGCTTGGGAATCCACAGTGAGAAGCTTCCTGATCAGGTCCTTGGCATTCTCTGAGATCCCAACCCAGTGCTTTGGATGGAACCTGAGCCTCCCGAGAAGAATCTGGTTCCCCAAAGACATGTCCTTGTACTCGTCCGAAAATGGTGGATACCCCCCAAGGCTAAGGATATCAAATCGAAGACATCAACATCAATCAGGAGCTATATTGAACTTTCACCAATGTCAGGGTCCAAAAACTACTGATATCAATATTGACACATCTGCCAAAGAAGCTGACAGATAGTACCCAAACAAAGTTTTAAAAAATCCAGGGCATACGATTTTAAATCAGTTGAAAGTCTTTATTTACTCTGCAATGCTTCACACTTCATGCAAAACTCATAAAAACATCAGATTTACAACTGTGCAAAACAGCTTTAGACAGGTCAGACATCATTAATACTAAAAATAGATGATATTAATGGCATTGGTGATGCTGTTCCATCAATGGATACCAAATCTATTAATGACCAGCAGAGAATTTTCAGACAAGCTGTGAAGCTTCAGTAGCTTCCTATATCCTCACACGTCTCCAGTAAATTAGGCAGCAGTTCAGTAAGCCCTGGTTACAGGAGGAAGGCTAAGATATTGTATCTTGCTGGAGAATGAATTTTCCTTTGATACACTGCTCTCATGTTATTCATAAATAAGGCAAGCATGATGGTGATTGCCTTCACAAGCTTATCCTAAAAAACTAATATTTGGGGTAATTAATCAAGGCTTCAGAACTCCAATACAAGCCAAAGACACATCAAGGATGCAGCCACAGCCAAGGAGACAGGTGACAGCAAACAGTATCTAGGTTTTAGCATCTTTTATCCACTAACCCTTGCCTTGGTAATGTGCCAGGATGAACAGTGAGAGAGGTGTGGGCAATCAAGCAATGATATGAGAGCTGCCAACACTTGAAAGAAGCATGAATGGGGTGGGGGAGGAGTATATACCTGGAGGCTATACCTATACTATATATATGGCTATACCTGGAGGAGTAAGCTTCTCTCACGGAAGACAAAGACATCAATGGGAATACCAGAATATCTTCCTGGGAAATTTCCCAGAAAAGCATTTTTTAATGCTTTTCTTCTGAAAATGCACTAACATTCCTGATTTGGCTGATAACATTTTTCTGAGATGAATGTACCAGACTCTTCTCTTCCAAGTCAATGATTGACCATAGATTGACCATGTGTTGTTTTCTACTCCAAATCGAAATGGATGGCTTACCAGATGTACAATATAACTCCAAGACTCCAGCAGTCCACCTTGTTGGTGTAGGTTTCCTTGCCCTGAGAGCGGAGGATCTCTGGCGCCAGATAATGAGGGGTTCCACAAAATGTCTTCATCATTGAGGTCTCACCAATGAACTTGGACAGCCCAAAATCCGTCACTTTGATCAGAGTCTCAGATTCCGTTGAGGCAAGTAACACGTTCTCTGGCTATCCACCCCATACAAGACTATGAGGTAATTGCACAGTTTGAAAAGATAACTTGCATACATTTTCATTTGTGGGGAAGACTCTCCCTTTGCCTCCAGTTGGGAAGTGAATTTAAAATGAGACTGCAGTGCCATAATTGATTAAAACGCTGTAGGAATCACTTCCTTGCTGTTATTTGTGGGAGAATTTTCTCCACAAATTATATTTCCCCTTGCAAAATAAAAAAGCATGCAAAATTCAAAATAAATATTAAACCCCACCTTGAGGTCTCGATGAGTGATGCCATTGTCATGCAGGTGCTTGATAGCAATTACCATCTGGTAGAAGAGGAGCTTTGCCAGTGACTCAGGCAGTTTTCCACTGTCCTTCACACGATCAAACAATTCCCCTCCCTCCACCAGCTCCAGGATTATATACACCCGCCTCTCCGTGTCAATCACATCAAGGATTTGAATGATGCATGGCTACACAACCCAAAAAAACTTTACTTTGGAGGGGCAGGCCACATCAAAAGTAAAAAGAATGATATGGGCTGGATAATTTTAAAATATATTGATTTTTTTAATTAACCCTTTCCCTGGTATATGTGTATTTAAATCTTACACAGTTCTGACAGACAGATTTTCCACAACTTGCCTTAAACATCCAACAGCTGCCATAGAAACATATTCAACACATGGCAAGAGCATCCAAAACACAGTCTTGCACAACACATCAAAACACACCCATCCCAGGCAAAAGTTGGGAAAAGTTGAAATCAAAATATGTTTGCATCAGGGAAAGGGTTAAATTTAAAAAATGCAATAAAGAGGACACCTAGGGTACACAATCCTACATTCATTTTATTTATGTGAATGCAAAACATGAGATGCAATTGATCTGGGCAGCAAGGCAGACTTTGGACACCCCTGCATCAGATGTGACCACATTTTCATAATTCATACATAAAATAAACATTTTTGAGGTATAACAGATCTGAGTTTGAGTATAATAAAAAATTCAACCTGCAGTTTTACTTGTAGGCAATTTTGTGTTTTCTGTGTTATTTATCAACAGATGGAAACTCTACATTAAAATAAAATGTCTGTCTTCTCTAAGGCACCCTATATCTTACACAGAATAAGAAAGTTTTTCCAGAATGCAATGATGAAAGAAAGAATAGGTACCATACAGGAAAAAGGTAATTCTACAAATAGAGGTTAAGACACACTAAGGAATTGAAGGTCTTACTTTTCAATGGTCTTACTTTTTATTTATCATCATTAATGTTCTTTGCAATTATTTTTTTTCATGTTCTGCACACATTTGTTATTTCAATAAGATTTTTCAATATTCACCTTTTCTTATTATCTGGTACTCACATGTGACAAGGCCCTAAGAACAGCCACTTCATTGTGGACCAGCTCTAGCTGGTCCACCTGGTGTGTACCCTTGGAGGTGAATTTCTTCTTCTCAATGATCTTGATGGCCACCCGACCACAGGAGCCATCTTTGCTGAACCCAAGACGCACTTCCCCACATGCACCCCGGCCTAGGACTCTGGACACTGTGTATTTCTGTGTGATCTCCTTAGGAAATGCTGTGTCATCATCCATGCCAAGGCTTGTCATGAACACAAATGCTGCACAAGTAGAGAACATATTCCAATAACTTTTAAAATGTATGATCACAAAAGGAAGCTAAACAGTCAGACTGGTCAACCTCTTCTGTAGTAGTTAACATATTTGAATTCCCTTCTTCACCAGTATCCAATCTTTTTTGTTTTAAGGCCTTTGTACAGATATGATACAATAGTGTCAGTTTTTCTATCCTTAAAAGGCTGTGAGCAGAAGAGCTCATGAAAACAGAATCACAGAAGAGGTTCAGCCAGGGTATCATTAACCCCTTCAATGGCATGTTTTCAGGCACAAACTGTTTTTGAGATGAGACCAGCTCATCCATGCCAGTGATGGGGTTAGCAGGCCTTCCTTGAAATTGAAAGGTCACAACCACAGGACATTCCATTCAATGAAACCCAAGGAGAAAGGAGTTAACCTCTTGGAAAGAGTACTTCCACAGATACAGAAGAGCATTGACTTCCTGAACAAATCAAAGAGGGTCTGGAAAATTAATTTTTTTAAATCTGCCATTTGCCAAAATAGGCAATTAAATTTTGTTTTTACTCTTAAATAAGTTTCAGCTGAATTTTGAATTTTGGTATAGTTTCTACACTACTCATCAACTTGAATGTCTCAGATTAGCCATCACTTTTGACCTGATCCAAGTAATAGACCTTCAAAATGCAGGATCTTCCAGCAATGATACCCTTTATGCCACATTCCATAAAAATGTGTGAATATGCTATGCTGAGAGTGTCATGTCATGAAATGCAAGGAATGCCCTCCCAGAATGAGAAAACATGCAAACTAGCCAATACCATTCATCACTAACCTTTGTAGCATGGGGAAGCCAGTGCAATGACATCATTGTTTGTCAATACTCTCTTCTGTCCTTTTCCAATCTTCTCCCCGTTGAGGTAGGTCCCATTGGAGCTGAGATCTTCAATGTAGATATCACTACCCAACAAAGTGGTCTCTTGAAAGATGCGGAAATGACGCTTGCTGATGGCCAGGAGGAGCTTCTCATTTGGAACATGAGCAGTAGTGATACAATAGTCACATTCCTCTGAACGTCCTATTACATGTTCTGGCATCCTCAATTCTGAAACAATCAGCATTCTGTCTAAGAGAACCATGTTTTACTCATACCAGCATGAAAAAATAATCATAAGAGCTACCTCGAGAATGACCCTGTCCTTGATAGTTTCAGGTTCTCAAAGTTTGAAAAGAAAGCAGAAATGTCATCAACTATAATCAAACTCAGCTAAAGCAACAAATAATAGCATCTCCCAGTCCAATGCCCATAATATACTGGTTATAGGAATGTGAAGTTTTGTTCCACTGAAAAACTTCACAAAAATGTTAAGTGATAAAAGTATCTCAATCTAGATTTTCAGCTGCTATGCATAGCATGGCTAGTGAAAAATAAAAGAGGCAAAGCTTAATGATTGAGCAGAGTAAGCATCACTTATTTGATAGAAAATGGGTGAGGTAAGATAGTCATTCGTCATGAATATGGAATATAGCTTATCTGTTTCCATAATTTGAAAATAAGCAAACTCATTCTCAATAAATCTTGGATAAAACAATTTTTCCCAGATCCAGGCAATGTTATAACAAAGTTAAACTGGATATCAGGTATCAGCTAACATTCAGGACCAATGATATGACACTATTAGTTAAAAGTTATGCTCTCTTCCAGGCTTCCTTTAGTCTCACTGAAATTACCAGTTTCCTATTGCCATGGTAGCAGTGGGGTTCAATGTGTTTGCAGGTAAGCATATCTTCTATTAGGTTTCAGGAATCTCATGAAGTAGATTCATAAGATATTGAAGGGGTTGATATCAATCACAGAGAATAGGAATGAGTGGAAGGACTATAGCTGAACAAGGATAAGTAGAACCTTCTCCTGAGGCTTTCATAAAGACACACAACTCCCTAAGGCCAGATGTTGTAAGGTTCCAGGCAGGCATCATATATGCTCAAACTGTTTCTCTGCTTTCTAATTCACTAAAAAGAACTTAGAAGTTATAGAAACTTGTGACCTGACCAGGCTAGGAAAACCCTTGTGAACCTGCGAATGAGGTTCATGGGAACAGTCACATGGGCAGGCAGTTCACTTAGTCCACTTGCATATAATTCCCAGGAAATTCCAATTTGTTGCCTCAGGTCCGTGGGAAAAATATACAGGGTGGTCCGCTTAAATTGGGACTGACTTTAAACTTGCACAGCTCCCTGATTATCAAAGCACGAACCTTCATACTGTAGGTATATTTTCGGCACTCTGTGCTGTGTCCATTTGCAGAACCAAAGTTGAAAATGTCGGTGGAACAAGAGCGCCGTGCCACCATCATCACCTGCCTTCGTGCGGGCCGCACGCCGAATGAAATCATCGAGTTCACGAAGATCCCGAAATCGACCGTCTATCTGCAACCGCTTCCGATCGAGAATCGAAGCCGTGATCGAGGCCGATGGCGGTCATTTTGAGTGATCATTGTCGCTAATGAACAGTTGAATCTAGGGGTAAAAAATCATGTTGAACCCGTGCTTCATTGATGAGTACTGGAACGAGACATCCCAAATTCCCTGAATTCCCTATTTAAGCGGACCACCCTGTATATTCTTCCTACACTGGTCCCTACCATACAGAGAAACATACAAAAAAAATATCCCAACACACTTGAAGTTTGGATTTTGGAGTAGACCAGGAGCTAACACTCCTAATCTTCATAATTTACTTGTTTTAAAGAGATCTTAGTGCTTAATCGGGGCAGGCCCTGTGCTATAGTGGTATTCATATGGTGTCCATGATGTTCATTATGCTAACATATACGAGGTGTGGCTATTAAGTTTCCAGACTTCATTTTTTTAAAATTCATTTTTAAACTTACAAATTAATCACATTCAACACCATCAAAGTACTCCACTCCAGAACTTATACACTCATCCCAATGATGCTGCAATTGCTGGAAATAGCGGTGGAAGTCTTCTTTCGGGATGTCTTTCAGAGCCTGCATCACATTTGTTTGAAGGTCTTCAATGCTTCGAAATCGGTGGCCTTTCAAAAAAATTTTTGAGTTTGGGAAACAGCCAAAAGTCACTGGGGGCTAAATTGGGCGAATACAGTGGGTGATCCATTTCAGTGATTCGTTTGGTGGCCAAAAACCCTCGGACAGACAGGGCTGTGTGAGCTGGCGCGTTATTGTGATGCAGTATCCACGAGTTCTCCTTCCACAGATCGCCCCTTTTCCTCCTCACAGCCTCACGCAACCTTTTCTAAACGTTCTTGTACAACATCTGGTTGACTGTTTGTCCTTCTGGCACGAATTCTGAGTGGACAATTCTGTTGACATAGAAAAAACAAATCAGCATCGTCTTGATTTTCGACTTCGACATTCGGACTTTCTTCTGTCTCAGTGAATTTGCAGTTCTCCATTCAAGGAATTCACGTTTCGTTTCTGGATCATATTGACAACACTATGTCTCATCTCCAGAGATGATTCTTTCCAAAATATTTCCTTCTCCAGCTCTTTCTGAGAGATCCAAACAAACGTCCAATCGTCTTTGTTTTCGTTCAGCTGTCAGCAACCGAAGCACCATTTTCGCTGTCACCTTTCTCATGCTCAAATCATCCTTCAAAATCCCTCGAACAGTTTCTTTATCTAAATTCAACTCTTCAGCTATCATTCTAATTGTCAACTGTCTGTCTGAACGCACCAAATCTGTAACTTTTGAGAAATTATCAGGTGTTCGTTTGGTGATTGGCGTTCCACAACACTGGTCATCATGGACGCCTTCTCTTCCCTCTTTAAACCTTTTACGCCACAAAAAAACTTGCGCTCTTGACATGGTATGATCACCATAAACTTTTCTTAACATTTCGAGCGTTTCAGTTGTGGATTTCCCCAGTTTAACACAGAATTTGACGTTAGTTCTCTGCTCGAGATTACTCTCCATTTCAAATCCGCCAGCGCACACAAATATGATCTACCTTAACGCAGCTCACAGCGCACTGGTCAGACCACACTGAAACTTGCCTGGTTATTAGCTATGGCTCCCCTCTGTTATTGTCATAGCCCCACTCCCCTCCTCTCTCTCAAAGTTCAGCAATAAAACCAGTCTGGAAACATAATAGCCACACCTCGTACTTGAAAAATGCATGCAAAGGCTAAAGAAATAAATTGGCAGGGTAGTTCATCAAAGGCCAACCTGCCTTTAATTGACTTTAATCCTATTTAGAAATAAGTTTAGGATTAGACCCCACATTCTTTATTCAAAAGTTTTAGGGAGAGATAGCACTGGCAAATACTAAGGATACGGTTCTAATATGTGTGCATGAATGAATGAATACTTTTTACTAAAGCCCATATAAGGAAAATCCAAATACACCACAGCAATTAATAAAAGTAAGCACTAAACATTGCTTGATCCTTATACACTTTGAATATCTTTTTCCATGGTTATGGTGGTCGCAGACTAATTGAATTTAATCCTATTCCTCCATAGTTCTCTTAATGCTATCATGCACAATGACATTTTTAATCATCTTTTTTTGATGTGAGTATACCCTATAGTCTGGTGCAGTCTCCTGATGAAACTTTGGAAGGAACTATAATTTGAACTTAAATATGATTAGCATCTTATAGCCTGTCACAGTTTCTGATTCCAGATACCTATAGCCTGAGCAACCATTTTTAAATGAAATATTCCAATACCACCTACCATCGTTCACAGGCTAACCAGTATGCCTACTTACATCAAGGCCAATGAAAACTAGGAAGAGCAAAATTTTTCATTTCATTTCAATTTATAAAGCACATGAACTGAAAGCTGTTGGTGTTCTCAGTGGCCTGCAAGGATTATTACAAAGTTCTGCAGAATATCCAACTTTGACACACATATGAAACATCACAATGGAATACTCGAATGGGCGAGTATACTCGCCCATTCGAGTAGAAAAGGTTAGGTAAAGGCTGCTGTCTCGCCGCGGCCAAGTCAGGTCTACCTGGTCTAAAAATGAGTCAGGTATCAAGCTCACCACATTTCATGAGGTTTTGGGAGATGGGATGAAGGAGACCCCAGAACGGCGCGACAGAATCCATCTGCCCCGCTTCGTCTTCGGAATCGGAGAAGAGCAACGGAGCCTCCTGAGTCTCGATCATGCTCGTGGCGTCTCCTTTCTCCTCTTGAGATCGCCCTCCTTGGGAATGGGAACCCGAATCGCTTTGCGAGCCCATTCGCTCGGCGCACAAGCGATCGGTCTATCCGTCGTCGGGGAAACGAGATAAACTCGGCCCTGAGTGAAAAGGGGGCACCTGTGGGCTCGGAGTGTCCGCCGCCATGAAGAGGTAGAGGTGTCGCTCCCTAGATGGAAATCGAGTCCGCCCTACGGACCCCTCACTTCTACCCGATTCTCGTCTACCTTCGCGCATCGCACCCGAAGCGGAACCACTCCGACTCGTTGCTTACTTTCTTGCAGACGATGACTCGACCACTGTAACAAACGAGGACGAAAAAAAGCATTTAGGGTTCGAAAATGTTATCCGAACTTAAAAAATAGAGTCCATGATCCTGCTTCAAAGGTCGGCCCTGCACGATGTGCAGAAGTAAATTTAGACTTCGGAAGCAAGGGCGTAGAAAGTTGAGGGGGCAGGTGTGGGAAATGTCCCCATCGCTTTCGCGTAAAGCTACCTTTTGCTCACCTCCCCCTTCTTATTCCATCTCTGAACGAGCTACTAGTGGATGGAGTTGTGGCATACACACTCGCGGAAGCCTGTGTACCTCCCACCGGCGATATTTTTCAAGATTCAGATATTCGAAGCCGACGGCCGAGCATTCGCGCTATCGGCGATCGCCGGTGTAAGTACAGTTGATGGTTATTACTATATCGTGTCCTCGTGCTTTCGGTGCCCGCGCCTTTTACAATTACTCATTACTCTACGCCCGCGTCAAGGATGGAATGGTGATCGCTGTCGCGGGGACAACAGGCCACGAGAAACGCGTCTGTCGCATGTCCAAATCATCAAATCCACACAGGAATAATAATATTTAAATAAATTTAGAAAAACCAAAGAGGGTACTCTTCCAGTTAATCCCCCCTCGAGCACTTCGTCTCGACGGTGCATTCCACTTGGAGTTTCCTTTCATGGTGGTTATGACTAACCTGGGGATGGACTTCGCACATCGAGACTGGAAAAATCTCACCGAATATCAACTTAGGGGGGTGTAGGGTCCATTTTGGAATATAAGGAGTCTTCGTACCGAACTGGATCGTGCACCGGCTTCCCCAACCAATTCCACGCGTTACCTCGAGTATATTTAAATAAGTACGAAACCCGTCGAGAGTTTTCTGGAGTTTGTTCTTGATTGCATGGAATGAAAGTGGTCTCTATTGCAAACAGGATGGAAGAGGTGAAAGAGCTTCTTATGTCAAACATAATTTCCAATTTTGGCTAACTCCCCTGCACGATGACGTAACATCGTTTCAATTCATGTACATTGAAGAACTGTAAGTTATGCACCAGGGCCTCAGGTGAATTTTAGATAATAGATCGAGTCTGTGGATCATTTTGGGATGGAATGATGAAGACAAGTGAGTTGGAGCCTCCGTATAGCGACGCCAAAGGGCATAGTGGACGTTTGCGTATGGAGGTGCGAGCAAGGTACATACCGGATGGCGCTTGAAAAGTGCGCCTAAATTTTTGCGTTCATTTCTCAACTTCCAGATGAGCCAGAGGCGTACAAATAACACCACGGACACATACAGGGTGTTGCATAACAGTTGCCCCCCCCCCCCCCCTTTCATCCTGGAGCCTGCGACGCATAACATGGAACGACTTTGTAAATATTGTAAGAAAGGCAATATCATGTAATATTTTCTGTATATTTTCAACTTGATTTTTTAAATGGCAGGTGTCCCAGGTGGCAGTTAGCCATCACGTCTCAAGTATGGAATGTGTCTCGGAAAATTGCTAAAGACGAGGATGCAACATTTAGCCCAAAAAAATGGATTGAAAAAAAAAACTGAACAGAGATGAAAGTTGAGTGAAATGGAACTGGAACATGATCTGAAGTGATGTGTATTATCGGTTTTAATGTTTTAGACCCTTGAATCTCAAAATAGCATGAAGCTATCAGGACAGAAAGTCCGATCTCCAGAAGAAACGGGGGGAAAGGACTTCTTTGGATATTAAGAATGGCTGGGGAACTCATCTTAACATTTTTAATTGCATAGCTGAAGCATACCTCCTGAAGAGGTATACTTTAGTATTTCAGGTCTAACTTTCAGGCATGCAAATTGATGGATTTATACTCAGAATATTATTACGCCTTATATGAGCCTGTGATTTTTCATATTTCTTCAGGCTTGAGATGATGTTCTTCGTAAGGAAAATCAAAACACAAATAGATAAGGGTACAGACTGGTGTAAGAGATGCAGGGCCTGAAATAAAGCAGTGTGGCAGGAATACCTTATGTGCTTACCTTTCTTCCCCGTGTGGTTATCATCGAGGCATCCCAGCTAGAGTATTTCAATTTTCAGAAATTTAAATTAGTACCAAATAAAAGCTCTCCTCAAACTTTTATATATTAATATATATGGCTCATGCTGATACTTTGAGTGCTCATGGCTGTCCTTATTATGGGACCTATGAGCATGGAACTTTTTTATTTGAAAAATTTTTGTTCAGTCAAAAATGAATATTGGTAAACCTGTTTTTGGTTTGCCTAAGGTCACCTGTTTTGACATCCTCAGTGACAAAAATACCATGATGATAAAGGAGACAAATCAATGTTATTGCATCAAACTTTCATGTCTTTTTTCATAGTGTTGGTACAAATAAAATTTGGTCTGGGTGTCGTTTGAAGTATGATACCTACTCATGCTGCACGAGGAGTCTCAAGTTCAAAGAAAATGAAGTATAAACTTTGATATTCATAATGCTCCACCCAAAAATGTTACATAATTTTAACCATGCCAACATATAGGGAAAAAATAGATTTGAATTACAATTCCCATGAAGCATCATATTTTGCCCAGGTTGCTGATGAAATGATATCAGCACATGGCAAGTTATTTATGCCCTACAAGGTTGATAACATGCAAAACAGTGCGTGAATAGTTGATAAAATTCAGGTTTCAAAGGCAATGCATTTTATTTAAAGGAAACTGCAACATTCTGGGATTTTGAATCAAAACAAACCTAACAAATATATCTCAACAATGACACAATACATAGTAGAATCCTGGAAATCACACTTCATAAAGATCTTTAAGCTTCACATCTCTGAGATCTGGAATTTATTCATTGAAGATCATTTCCAACAAGGTTGGATCACAACACTGCTCTTCTTCAAGGCGTTTTGATGTTCCCCATTTCATCAATGTTGGGACACAGTTCAACCTTGTCCGTGAATCTGTCCTAAATTGACATTTTGGATTCTTCCACCTACAAGATGACAAGAAAACTTCATTTAAATCCATAAATCAAAATTTCTACACTAGTAAATATTTGAAAACATTCCCAGTATGTTCCTATTTCACAACTAACCATTCCATTAAAGCCTTTAAATAAATAAAAAGTTTTAAGTCTTAACAATTTATAATAAACTGATTATTGATAGGTATCCAATTCCAAATTTCTCCCATGCCAGAGGCCAAAATATGAACAATGTAAGGTGTATATTTAGCATGGCATATACAGGGTGTCCCAGAAACCCACCCCAAGTTTTGTAAATTATTATGTCTTTATTTTTTTTTTTATGGAAGTGAGTTTTGTACCATTTGAAAGTCTAGACCTTTCTTAACAACTGCTGTTAAACCTGACAGTTTGTGTTTACTGGTTGTGGGGTGTTTTGAAAGAGAAGGTGTATTATACAAAACCCCTAACATCCCAGACCTCATCAGTGCCATTTTCACCAAATTGAATGCCATAAGCCTGGACATGTGCTTAGAGCAGTGGATGACCTTCCCAGCGATGCTGTATGTGTCAAGATCAGAATGGGAACCAATTCCAGCAGCAAAAAGATTGAATCCCTGCTTTTAATCCCTGCATACCAAAAACCCCACCCCCAGTTTGGACAGAGACTAAGACTAAGTGAATGGCACTGATTAAGTCAGGGATGTTAGGGATTCTGTATCATACACCTTCTCTTTCAAAAAACCCCACAACTAGTAATCACAAACCATCAGGTTTAACAGCAGTTGTTAAGAAAGGTCTAGGCTTTTGAATGATACAAAACTCATTTCCATCAGGAAAAAAAGACATAATAATGTACAAAAATTGGGGCAGGTTTCTGGGACACCCTGTACATGTTTACATGTGACTTGTCACTTTAAACCCATGAATTTTCAATATAATTTCACATTTTTATTGCCTTATCTGATCATATATGCCTGATGAGCAATAGTACTACTTGAAATTTTCATGCTAGTAAGCACCATGAGGCATTATCAACTGCAAACCTTCAGGGCACTTCCTTCCACTGAGTTGAGGAAACATGAAATTTCAATTGATGAATAGTTTAAAGCTATTGCCCTACAATTTAGCTTTCCATGCCTCCAAAATGCTTCATTAGCACTGACATTTAAAATTTTTCCTCTTCTCATGTAGAAAATGTATAAGGAATTAAAGGAAAATTTGCTGCAAGCCAGCCATCCAATTTGACTCCCTGAAGATGGGCTGACTAATGAGCACATATAGGTTAAGATAAGATCAACTCACATGTCCCTATCTCCAACCCCCACATATAGCAGTACAACATCTGGGCATGATTTCAGGAATTCCTTGATAACTGGTTCAGCTGGAAAAAAGTAGACTCTCAATTAAAAATTTATCTTTCAAATAAATAAGTGAGAAAAGCAAATTTAAAAAATATATAAATGAAAAGTGAAGCAGAGAGGAACCTGAAAGGTCTTTTCAATCTCTACAATCAGTAAGACTCATTCCACTGTTAAGTTCATATATATGACCAAATGGCAATGTCATTGGAAAAACCAATAATCTCAGGACATAACAGGCAAGATTTCTTTGTACATACCTCGTGTGCAATCAGAGCACCAGTTGACTCCAGCAGGATTCTTACTCCCAGAAAACAGGACAAACAAGTCTGGGACAGTCTCAAGATCTGCTACAGCTTTCACAAAACCATCAAATCCATTCACTTCAATGATTTTGGCCATGGTCTCAGCAGAAGCAACCTATTTATGGCTTTTTTTTTTACCAGGCTATAAAAGCCAATATCATAGATGATAGCACCTACAAGGAAAAACATATTTTAAAATGCTAAATTTGAGTTAATTAGGATCGAGAGCTTAAAACAAAACAGAGTTAAAAACAGAAAGGCTACTTCTATATTTTGATGTCACAAGTATACATCTTGATGAATGAATGTCTGATGCATGCTTTAATAGAACAAGATTGGACTTGGGTCACTAACACCCAGTCTCCTCTAGATGGCCAAAGTCACTGGCCACTACAGAAGCATTAATATTGTTTAGAGATATTATTATTATATTTTCAGCTATTCAATATTGGAATCATGTGAAATATTTACTCTATCAGTTCCAGAGTCAATTCAAACACTACCTTTTGTGGGTTAGCTCTTATAATGAAAGTTCAGAAAATATTGACATCGAGAAATATTTAGCAGATTTTGGAATTACATCTGGTATCATAAAGTTAAATACTCAATATTTTTTTTTAATATAGGAAAGTACATACCTCTCACTTGCATTCCCAATTTAGCAAAATAGCTTGTATTCATCTAGTTCCTTATCACCTGCTCAGGAATTTTTAATGGGCTTTATTTTGTTCTTTATCAGTGTATTGTTATATCATATGGTGAAGTGCCAGCACTTCTCCAAATTAGATAGCTACTATGATATAAATACTATGCTTAAAAAATTTTCAGAAACGAATAGAAAAGAGTAATCAGTTTCCCAGGTTATTGAAATCATACAAGAGAACTGTTAAATACTTGAAATATTCTACTGGTTCTTGAATTGACAGTTCTTAATTCTTGTGAATATTTTTTTTCTCATCTGCTGAAGTAGAACCCTCCAAACTTTATGCCTATGGACAAAATATACCTTGTAGGTCAAAGAGGAGTGTCTGATTTCATTTTCATGTTCTGTTGAATGAGACTTGGCATTTTTCACACATGAATTTGCTTATGAAGCGGTTGGCATGTTTCCTTTGTCCTTTCTCTCATCTATTAGCATCTTCTCAACTCTCACTAAGCTAACAATAGCTAGCTAAGCCTAAGGTGAAGTTGTTGTGCAAAGATAAGTAATACTTTCTTTCTAGATCATGTAATATCATTTATTATTATTATTATGTGATAATAGAGAGATAATTAAAAATTGTGAAATGCAACATCACTGCACGGAAGCAAGTAAGGAGGAAGTACATAATACTAGATCTAGGCTTCCTGTCTGCCCTGGAATACATGTAGCACAATACATGCTTGTCAGTCACAAAGGATGAGGTAGACCTCGGCCTTATGGAAGGCCTAACTTTATAGCGCGGGGAAGCCGCTCCCTACAGTTTATTCATAATAGACATAGGCCTATCTTAAGCGTAGGGCTGTCATGTCATTCAAATTAAGGCAGGTTAGGAGTGACTCCAAACTGACTTTTCAATGATAGTTCAGGAAATTTGAAGGAAAGAATAAGCGAGGAGTCTATTACAACTACAATATGGTGCAGTACCAAATCCTATCGTGCCCATTTCAGCGTTAGAATCGGACCATGTTTTGGGATTCTGTACATAGAGAAGCATGTCACATGTACAGCCCACGGGTGCAGCCAAAATCTCAATGGCCAATGTGACCACGTCGCAGTGTTGCCAAGTCGTTTTCGACCCGACTGATCAGAAAAATTTACAACTGCGACTATACTAGCATCAAAGTATACAACTCTCTTGGAAATAATTGGACGAATTTGGATCGTCCATGGCAGTGTTTTTAGGTTTTCGGTCTCGCATTAACATGTTAACATCAAGGCAGTCCGCAATTTTTTACTAATGAAAATATACTCATTCCAGTTATTTTTCAATTTCTCTAAAGAGAGGCGAAAGCTAATCTATTCGGTGAGGGAAATCACGACAAGAGAAACCTGCTCCGCATAAACTTCACGAATATTCATGAGAGACATGATCAGATCATGAAAATTTTGATTTTTGAAAAGGAGTTGGAGATGGATTCAGCGGAGTAGAGTCCCTGGGTAGGATTCGTCTTCGCTTCGTCATCCTATTAATTTCTGACAACAACTCTTATGTTTACGACAGGATCATTCCATATCAAATCATCATTGCATATGCTTCCCAAAAAGTACGTATAAATATTACTTATATATTATCATCCCTAGAATATGGTTATCGATGGGGGCTACAGAAAAAAAAAAATGAGAATAGCATTTTCAAGGGTTCTGCAATTCAACTCTGGTGGATTGTGCCTGTCGGTTAGGAAATTTCCAAAGACGCAAAACACTAGGGGTGGGTTCTTGTACCCCCTTTTAGCTGCTAACGGCCTTTTAGTCCTATGCTGGCAATGGACCTAAAAGGTCTTTTAGGGCTAAAAGGGAGTACAAGATCCCACCCTAGGTTTCTCGTGGTGTTCAACTCCACTCCGTCGTAGACACTGAATGGCTGTAGACACCCTCGTAGACACCGACAGGGGCAAGGGGCGCGTGCCCCCTCAAGATTGGCCTAAGTACACTAAAAGCATGGCACTTAGAAAGGTGAGGACGCAAGGAAACCTTTCCGGCGCCGTTAGTTCATTTCTATCCGTAGGCCTCAACAATAGAACACGATGCTTGAAATGTATTACCGGTGCTGCATCCTGTTACATTCAGATACTGCCTCTAGCGCGAGCGAGAACTCTAATTCCTTATCTCAAGTGATACCTCAACGACCCTCTCTCCGTATGTCTCGGAGTTTATTCTCGGCAAGCATTCTCACACCTATCGTTTTCCTGCCATATGTTAATTAAACGTTTTCTCTTATTAAACTCCACTCGTAAATCACTCTCGACTCTCGTCTGGTCTTCCCCCCGCTCTAAATACTGATATTCCGGACAAGCGAGTTTCCTTCGAGGAATTTTTGCGAAGCGATCCCTCGTCGCGTTCCCATGACCCCTGAAAGGCTCGTGAGACTCACCGGCCTGTGATTTCCCAGGTCGTTCGCGTCCTCGAGTACCGGTAGGACGTTCAGCAATTTCCACTCCCTCGGCTCTTTTCCACCCAAAATGCCAGTCGAAAACGACCGTTAAGTAGCGATACTTCCCGATGGAATTCCACTCGGAGGAAAGGCATCGGAGTGGGTTGCCACCGAGTCCCTCATCTCACTCGCGATACTTTCCTCCCGGATGGCGACATCCTCGGTGCACGCCACGATCGCTTCCGCCCCTGCCGATGCGCAACCTGGAGTCGTTCCCGGCCGCGTAAGCGAGTAACTCATTCGGTTCCCGGCCACGCCTCCGTCCGGCCCTATCGGCTTGTGGTGGGCGGGAACGATAACTTCCCCTAGTCTCCGTCGCTCCTATGTCGTCGTAGCTAATTTTCCAATACTCTCCCCCACAGCTCATCCCTTTCACCACTTAAGTTGCGCGCATCGCGTTGAAATACTCCAGCCGACTGTTACTCTGCCTCATCTCGATACCGATACCGATATGCATAGGCATGGTGACACTAGTAGTGGTTCTCTTGCCGCTTGTAGTTGCCCCGTGACCTGCGATGCTAAATTGCAATATCGACCGGTTGGGCGCCATCCTTTGAGAAAATAAGAGAATCCCCAGCCACCGGACGCATGATCGCTCGAAAGCCTCCGGGGTGTGAAAAAGTGTCACCCATCCGTAACAGACTCCCAGTCTAACATCACTTCTCATAATTCTCATTCAATGAAAACCCTATTCTTGATACGCTCGACACCTGGAGTTGCCAATCAGCGTTCGTCACGATTCTCACAACCCTGGACGCATGCACCAGTTGGATCTCAACGCCCCACTGATCCTTATCAACTACAATCCTCTGTCCATCATCGTCGTATCATCTGAGGACGAAGGAAGCAGCCAATAAGGTCACTGTAGTTTTAATGAAACTCAAAATTATTTCATGTCTGAGTTGCCAAGCCATAATTGATTGGCATTTGCAGGTCTGATTAACTCCTTGGTCAAATCGGCAAGGACCGGCCAGTTCTGTTTTGTTCAGATCAAAGACATCAAAGTGGACGAGAAATTCCCAAGTTCAGGAAGATTCTGATGACCTGGCATTTGAGTTGCCAGATGAGGGGATCACCCATCTTTCCTAAATGAAACCAAGACCCCATACCGTGACCTGTGACTTTCACTTCCCTCATTTCCCAATCGGAATGAGAAAAGATAAACCGTTTGGGAAACTTTCCATGCTCATATTAGGCCAGGGATGCATAAAGAGTGAAGCCAGCAGGCCATCAGTGGAACCAAATGCAAAAATTTTCTGCGCTGAGTTTGTTTAAATTCATTTTTCTTTTTCTTTCAAGCACTTCACTCTCCTTCATTAGATGATCTAGTGCAGTGCAGGCCAAATTTTCTCAAAGGCTACCACTACCATTCCCAAAGCCCGTGCACCCAAGGATTTGACCCACTGAATAAAGAAAATGGGAAAGTAGATTATGCTCCACCTTTAAGCTTCAAGGTCACTAGCATCCATTTCCCAAGAACTGCCAAGTATTGCCAACATAAAAACTGCCCCAATGAGCAAATACTTCTAAATACATTAAAAAAAACTGAAAATACCATGTGTTTTAACCCTTTAACTTTAATGCTTTAACCCTTAAACTACCAAGCCTCCAAGTTACACATAACATAGGCTTTAGGTCAAATTTGACCCAGCCAAACAACCAAGTTTAAGGGTTAAATGGAGAGGTGATGGTTCTTCCACACAATGATTTTAATGCATCTGCTATCAGGTGACATGCACCGGATATGTTCAAATTAAATGCATTCAGTATCACATTAGGCTTTCATAGGAATATCATCATCTCGGTTACATGGATTCTTATTAAGGCCAAGTGCAAATCTGAATGAATTCAAATTCAGTAGATCTGGTGCATGCCACCCATTAGTATGCAAAAATTTATTGGAAACGAAACCAAGAAACTATACCTCATTACAAAAAAAAGACGCCAGGGCAGTCATTTCTTTGATATTTTCACTTTGGGCCCAGACTCAACATTGACAACAGTTGGAGACCTGAACTCTATTGAAACACCTTTAGTTGAGTTGAGGCTTTCCTTGGATTTTTCTGAGCTTTTTAAACAGGAGGAGGTGGGAGCCCCCAGCACAAAAACACTTTCCCGGGGAACAAAGACTCTCTGCTTGGAATCCCCTCGATGGAGGTAAGCAAACCCCTTTGACTCCTCCTGGTTAACAGAGTCTCTGTTTTTCACAAGGTGATCAAGACGTTCCCCATCTGATGTTGGTTGGCTTTCATCCTTTTCAGAGATCCCAGAAGCCTCCGTCTCGTGTCCCTCGTTCACCCGTGGTGACACAAATGATATGGCATAGCCAGGATCGAGATCCTGTTGTTTGAAGCATTTGGACACTGCCTCATAGAGTGCATGAAGAGGGGATCCCTGTTTTTCAACTCCTCTCTGTAAGGGAACATTATCACTTAGATAAATGCAACTAGCTTATTCATAGTATGAGTTGGGAATAATACTACAGAAATACGTCAAAACCAAAAATAAAACATTTCAGAGAGTTATATCTCAATTTTATGAAATCAACTTGTCAATACTAATTGTACCAGTATGATTAGGCCTACATTGTGTAGCTACATCAATAATTTTCATTTTAAATAGATCACAGTTATCCATCCCTTCAGTAATGGAGTTTTTTAGGCATTGAAAGAGTTTGACACATGAGCACTGGACTGAACATATTCATTGAATACAAGATCAGTTTACAGATGCATGCTTGCATGTCCCAGGGATTAGTTTTTGGGACCCAACTCCAATTTAATTACAACAATAATAACTGGGCTTCACTCTGGGAAAAGACAAAAGTAAAAAAGTAAAAAAGTAAAAGTACTGCAAATTTTTCTCTGATTAGTGAGAGCACATTATAGCATTTATATGAATTCCACATATATCAGAATTAGCACGTAGGGAAGACCTTCAGTCCAAGAGCAGTGCATGATCCAACGTGGATGGATGATGCCATGACATGGGACAGTGATGGGAGAGCAATTGCTGGAATCTTCCTGGAGAGACAAAGTGGGACAATTGGGGTCACCAATGGAGCACAAGTTGGCGATCCATCCACTATCACTCCAGCAAGTCTGTCCCTCTCAATCGCCCTCATCACAGCATTCACTCCTATGACCATCATGAACCTGATGAAAAGATCATCACATTATATGAATTTATACAATGGGAAAAATCAGGACTGGTCACAGACACATTGCAGGCATCATTACATCAATATCAGCAACCTTTTCTTAGCAATAGTAGATGTTTCAGGCAATAAGTTATCAACAGCACCCGTGTAAATAGTCAGACATTCACATGCAACAATATAAGCCTAGCTAATAACTTGGAAAAAAGAGACCTCTGAATCTTCCATGAAAGGTTTACTTTAAAGTGTCCTCAACAAAATTATCATTACAAAAGGATAAATTCAAAATCTTAATTTGTTGTTTTATCTCATTTCAATGTTACATCTGATCGCTCAAAAGCTTAAGTGGCTCAATATTAGAAGTGAACCCACAAAGGGCATTTTTAAAGCTCAGATGGGGCTTGAACATTTATTTTTAAATACCTGGAATAAAAGAAGGTAGGCATACATATGTGGTGGCAAATTCAATCAGAATCTTCAATGTAGTAACATTATTGATATTGGCAATCTTCCTTGATCTAACTCTTGCTAGGAAATTTTATTGCCAGAATACAAAATAAGTTAAAATTGATCAAAACAGATTAGTATACTCCTGGTACACAATTTATTAAGAGTGTAGGCTTAAGTCAGAAGTGTGATTCTTTGGCAGAGGTTTGCTGCTCACTCCATAAAGTACTTCTTGATTACATCAGTAAAAGGAGTATTGTTTATATCTACTTTATTTAAATAAACTAGAGTCCATCCAGCAGGTAAAATACCTGCAATTGAAACTAATTTCTAATGATAAGCACAGAGATTTCAACTTTCACCATCAATACCCTGCAGAAACAGTAATATTCTGAAGCAAATAATAATAAATTGTGATAGCACCACAATTTAGAAGAAACTCTCATGTCTGTTCCCATGCAGATGGTTTCAACTTTAATTGTAATCTTCTACAAGAGCAGATCTATCCTGTCCACATCCATTCCATCATTCTCACTGTGAAGATACCTTATCCGAATCCATGTTTCATAAGTCTGGTGGATGTGTATCAATATTTTATTCCATTTTTGTTTCCCTCAATTTTGCACCGAGCACATGCTATCAACTAACATATAATTTGCCACTTAAATATTTACAGCTAAGTCCAACCAATGCTCAATGGAAATATTGGACTCAAACCAAGAATGACAAAAATATGATGCAGGCAGACCTCTTTTCCCGAAGGACATTTATGCTGAGTCCACACCTTGTGACCTGTTGCTCCACAGTCTCCTGTTTCAGCTCCCTTTGCCATGCCTGTAATCGGGAACGAACTTCCCTATGTAGAGCTTTCTGCCCCTCCCTCTTCTTCTCTGCCCTTTCCTGTCCCTTCTCTTTCCTGGAGAAGGTGCCATAAATTTTCAACTGAAACCAAGAACCCTGAAATGAACTAAGTCAACAATGTAAAAATGTCAATACTAACAGGAAATCAACAAGGAATAACAAGGAAATCACACAAAAAACCAGAGAATGTGTACATTGCATGACAAGTGTCTCTCAGAGAGTCATGCATCCTTCCAGTGACCTCATCATCCTGTATGTACAATGAGAACATAAGTCTAGTCATGGAAGGAGAAGGATATTGTTCTTTCTGTGCATGCAAAGCCTTAAGTTTGAGGAAGCTTTTCTAGGGCAAGTAAATATAATATATCATATAAACAGTAAAGTTCAGTCAAAAACAACAGTTGAGGTTTTAGCACTACAACTGTGCAATACCCCAACTCTCTGGTCTTGACCAAAAAGGGAAGTCTTGTTTGCATATGTGCAGGGAAATCAGTAGGTCTATACACTTTCAACAATGTGTATGCACATTGGGCTTTCCATGCTGACCAGACAGGTGGTCAAAGAGAGTCCAAGTTGTTTTTCAAACATAAGATGCATTAAGATGAAGTTCATGTTACTTGAACTGAAATAATTTAAAAAAACAACAAGCACAAAAACAATCCTGAGAATGAGTTTTAGCACTCGAGTTATGACAGATGAACAGACAATGGCCTAAGAAAAGGCAAATATGTAACTTATTAAATTTTCTTTAACAGGGCATGAACTGCCCCTTTCAGATTGAAAAATGACAACTGAGGAATCTAGGCCTTTGACCAGGAGAGACACAAATCTTAGATTTCAATCAAATGACAAATATACCTCAATTATATTTTTTTGTGTAGTAAAGCTAGTTAATTTTTGCTCAATTGAAAACATCACAACTGCACATTTTCCCGTTTGTCAGATCACTGATATCTTCCAATTTCTAACCAAACTTGCTGCTTTGTCTCCATGTAGAGTTTGAGGTACTTCTTCTTATAGCTCCTATCATGACTTGATTCCAGAGCACTCAGCCCTTCCAGGCTTCTGCAAGCCAATAAACATACACAAATAGTCACAAGAATCACTGGACTGTAGACACCTCTCTGTCTACCTCAAATGAAAATGGCAGCTGCAACTAGTGATTTATGAAAATCAAACAGGCAAAACAGAGGAAGAAGAAACAAGCCAAAGTAAGTTGTATTGACCATAACTGACCAGAAATGACAATAGTGGACTTTTAATTAACAAGTTAACCACCTATTCCTATCCAACATCTGTAAAATCAAGAACTATACTCTAAGTAGGCATGAGAATTTAAGAACTTACAGTTGGAGAGCTGCAAGCAACTCCTCCTTTCCCTCCTGGTTCAGCTTTGGCCTAAATTTCAAACAGTCATTAGAGCAATGAAAGTACTTGCTTCGACGATGACAGTGAATTTATGCATGTCTAATTACCTAGGCCTAGACCTAGCAGCATAGTCCCACACAGGATTCATCAAGAAGAGGATTGCACTGAATTTGACCAAAAAGGAAGACTTTTGAACAATGCCACAAAAAAACTTGTCTTGGTCCTAGCATTTAAGTATTCATTTTCCCCTTTTCAACAAGTAGCTTCATTTATAAAGTGGAAAATTACACACCAAGATTTACTTTATTAATCCGTAGCAATGGGCAAAAGAAATGGGTATTTAGGAAGTGCAGCAACTTTCTAAAGAAGCATACACCTTAAATAAAATAGAGAACTACATGACTTTGGATAAAATGAAACACTAACTTTGCCAGAGATGTCCAAAGTAACAAACCGAGCTTCATGATGAAGCAGAAATAACTTATACTATGCAAAATTTCAGCTTTTATTCTTTAGACTTGAGAGTTGTCCCCTAGCTAGTACACAATATTTAGCACAAAAAAGAATCAGGTACAATATGGACTAAAAAGAAAAAGAGTATAAGCAAATGAAACTCATTTGAAGAATCAATAGCTGTTAACAGAATTAAAACAGAGTAAATATATATTCATTGGAGACAAGATAAAACAGCACCAAGATGAAGTAGAGATCTAGATTAAATTTGGTGCACAAGCTTGTAGCAGTGTATTTGGATAATTTTTCTGAATCACATCATCCCATGGCATTGAAAATTTGTTCAATTATATAGATGTTAAGGTTGTCTACTATGCTAATTGTTGATTAAACTCCTTTTGGGTGTTCATTTAGGATAATGATAAGAAACCCCTCCCTCATCCTTCATATTTAAATGTTCATGGGAAGTTTTTCCTGTGAATATTCAACCTAGGCCCCTGAAACTAGTTGATTTCATGAAACACTGCTCCAAGTTAGCATGCAAACCTTCATCAGAATCATCTAAATCCTTCATGTTGCTCATTTTCTGGCAGTGAGTGTATAATATCATCATGATGCAGAACATATCTACAGAAGGCTACCTCAGGGTTTAATACATGGCATCCATAAAGCGACCAACCATGGAAAACTACTTTTTATTGACACAAAAGACTGTCCTGCCCATGTTCAGGTTCTTGCCAAGAACAGTGGTAGACTAGGATCACCTCCCATCTCTAGCGAAATCCAGTTCTACTTCAGGAACTGTATCATCACCCATCCATCCCCCCCCCCCCCTCATCTCCCATTTCCCCTCCTATGCCGGTACAAATGCGAAACCAAATTATATCACTTTTTCCCTACATTCTGGTGTGCTGCAACGAGTACCAGACCCTCATATTATGGGAAAGGAAGTCAAAACACAGTACGTACCATGCTATCCTATACGGATTGAGAAGAGTAGGGCGCAAGACTTTCCGCTTCTTTCTAGAGGAAGAAAGACTCTTGCGCTGCTGCGCTTTCGACAGCACTTTAGCCGGAGTATCCATTCTCTGAGATGAAGCACTACCGAAACTCCAGGAATCACCAAGCACACTTTAACGTTAGGTCCTCCTCGTTCGATCAAAGCGTCAATAGTTCCACGCGCCGTTCCTCCATGAGGCAGATGCAAACTTAAAGAGCCACCATGCCGACGATGAGCTTGGAAACTGCATGAACTGCCGCTCTGAAAGCGGCCATCACTCACAAGTAGGGTTGCCAACCCCAAAATCCGTTTATTAACCATCATCTTTATTCCGACACGACGGGAAGAGGGTGGAGGAAACACACTCTCGGCACCCGATCACAAGATATGTATCGAATGGCGATACCAGCAGGAAGAGATACCTTAAGATGAGAGATGAAAGTTGCCAGGTCAGCAAGAACAAAAATATGCAACATCCCACACAGCACGGTGATATCCCAGGGATGTCCCCAACTGGACGACTTGTCCCCATGGTCTTTATAGGATATCGTGAAGACATATTTCGGACGGTTTCCGACATCTCGTAAGGGAAGTCTTCGAGAGACGTCTTTCAGACATCTTTAGCCGATATCTTAGAGATGTCCCTTTCGGGATATCTTTAAGACATCCTTAGTCGAATCCCAGATAACATTTTTCGTGGGGCCCACATTGGCCCAATGTGATTCTCCAACTTCAGGATACGGTGGCCCAACGTAGATCATTCACGTAGGCCCCACATGAAAGTGTCCGTTGGACCAACGTGGAGCCAACGTTGGCAGTAAGTTGAATAGTAACGTATAACCCACTTACCCAAGTAGCTGGTTTTTGCTCTATATTGGCCATCATCGTTTCGTACCATATACTTAAATTCATTATCCAGTGGAGATATTCCCATCTGTAGTGCGGAACCTGTACTATAGCCTACCATGGACATGTTTAAATGCCCTCGGTAGGCAGGAGACATAGGATAGTACAGACGTGAAACTACCCCTGACTATACTGACATACATGTCAGAGAATGAACCACCTGATACGGTTCTATAAAGTACCCGCGATATCATTCCTTTATTCCTCCTTTTGTCGTCGAGATGAAGAAATAGCGTAATTGAGTTCACGGACACTCCCTCTATATTCCAATTTCCATTTCAGATGAAATGGAAATCTTTCTTTTTTAAAGTTAGTGTTTCATTTTATCCAAAGTCATGTAGTTCTCTATTTTATTTCAGGTGTATGCTTCTTTAGAAAGTTGCTGCAC